ACGGTTGATGATGGTGATGATGATGAGGCTTTGTCAATACTTAAGGATGTACGTGAGAACAGGTTGCACAGTGCGTCTCACTGACGTGCTGATGAAGTGTGAAACTTGATTGTTTCTCTGTCGTAGTTGAAGTGACACGGGTCACAGAAGGAGGGCAGCAGAGAGTAAACTCCAAACCTCAGGAGGAAAACTCATCTCATATGCTGAGTCTCGGTGCACACGTGCATGAAGCACATTGGTTTGGTTCATCACACAGAATGAACTTCCCCCAGCACGTGTGCTTAAAACAGCCTTTAACACACATCAGAACTGTGTCCGTCTTCATGTAGGCATATTTACAAATATTTCCAGCTGTATACATGTGAGGCTGTACCAGAACACAAATCAAAACATAAACAGCATGCTGAGAGAATTACATAAAGAACTATATGATCTCATTCAATTCAATTAAATATTGAGCTTGATTCAGCCTGGTCTCATCCAGCATTTTCTAGCTATTGGACAGATTGTGGACTCCTGCACCCATGGGTGGATGTTCAAAAGCGTGGAGGTCGTACCAGTGGCTAAGTTAAGGGTCACTTTAAGGCTACAACACATCCAGTCACACGTTCGCTGCATGTGACCTGCGCTGTCTGTAGGAGCGAGTCAGAGACACAAGGAGGAGGTGCTCGGGGAGTGAAGACGGCCACACAGAGAGGAAGAGCGAGAGTGCAGCCACATCATTATTTCATGAGACCCGATGTGAGTGCTCTGCACCCAAAGGTAACAGGGATTATGGAGATGTAGCCACTAGGGTGAAAATGATAGGATTCAGGTTACCAGAGGCTAGAGAGGGCGATCTAAATATACTCACAGACCCCCCTCCTTCACACACACGGAGGGATACGTATAAACAATATGGCAGTCATTTCGCGTTCAAGCTTGACCACTTCTTTGTGCCTGATACATCTCCAGCCCTCATCTGCAGAAACCAAACAGGCCGACTAATATTTGCCACTATACCAGTGGCGCTTTGCCGAATCACACACAGGCCCTGTCCTGCCCGTCAACAGCAGACACGGTTTTTATTTAGAAAAGAAGGCGGGGCGAGAATCGGTGATGTCATTCCTGGTGACAAATGTACCATGGCACCTCTGCAGGAGGGACAATGATGAGGAGGGACAATTGAGCATATAAAGGGACACACAGGGAGAGTCTGGCATCTTTGGCTCTGGTTACTGACACATCGGAGAGACACACCAGGTTAATACAACATACATCTTTGTATGTTATTTTTCTAGTGAAGGCCATGCCTAAAAGGAGCAGTTTCACGCTGTATTTTGCCTCAACAAATGTTCAGGAGGAGATTCATAATGTTTCACACACACACACACATATATATATACACACACACATCACTTCGGCTAATTAACTTCATGTGAAGCAGTTAATTAGCTGAACTAATATAATGGTTTTATCCACAAAGCATGCATTGAGTGCAGCTAGAAATACCTGGACATGGACATGCCCGACAATCTAGTACCAGATAATCAACCAACTCTGACATTCTAATATTCTATAAAGCTCGGTAAGAATAGAAAAAGTCAAGACTATTCCATTCAGTCGTATCTTTGCATCCATGTCATCGTCTCAGCCACACCTTTATGCTCCTGTCCATTCATGCAGTTAAACTAACGGCGAGAAAACATACAAACTGACGACACGGAAGGCCCGGGCAGCGGGCGACAGTGCTGACCACTGCATCCCTGCGCCACCCACCATGCAAATGACCTAATCAAATTAACCCAACCGTATCACGAGTCCTGTCCTCAACCTCCAGACCTCAATGGTCCAACATCAATGATTATCTCCTCCCACCACGAGGTTCCTCGACATGCAATCACTCAAATATATAATTTATACAAGTGTGCTGACTAGCTGCACAGCTGATGAGAATGGGGAAACAGTCAATAGGCTATTTACGAGTGTGCCTCTGGCCGACCACTGCAAAAAAAAAAAAAGTACTTTGTCTTCGAAACTGGCGAGGCAGGCAGATGAGCTGGTCGAGGCGGCGGAGCAGGACACTGGGCTTACATACTGGAGGCGAGTAGAGGCAATCAAGAAGATCATCAGCAGGTGGCAGGAATTGCTTGATGATCTCAACTAGACCAGCTGACAACCAGGAGGGGGAGGGGAAAACACTCAAAAGACAGACAGACCCAACAGTTGCATGTAAAGTGATGTGAGTGCATTAATATCAGAATCAGAATCAGAAACATGTGTATCAGAAACAAGTATGTTGGACATATGAGGAATTTGTCATGGTCTGTGAAAGAATCTTTGCTGTAAACAGCTGCCTGCTGCACCCGGAAATCAAAACAGTGAGGTGAACTGCTATGATTTTCACATGTTGATATTAGCCGCTATGAGCAGATGAAGAACACATGTATTCTGTGCAATTTTCAAGCATTACCGCAACATTAACAAAGTCTTCACATTAGCAAGTGACAGCAGTATCTAAACATTTTTGGTTTAGTAAAAAAAATACTAAATGCTATAAATAAACGCTTACCGGACATAAGTATGGCATGTAGCTTTGGCAAGTTGCCATTGTTTTGTTGGGGAAGAATTTCCTGGTCTAAATATAGTGTGCGGAGAAGCGAATCATCTTTTTGGCTCATAAACACAAGATAGTGGAAACTTCCGGTGAGAGCTATAAGTCAGGAACGCTTCCCACAAATCCAGGTCTTATTTGTGTGTGTGAGCTCATGTTTTCTTACCTAAAAAAAGCTGTGACGTAACTCACTGTTTATCGTCGACCTACTTACAGGGTTGAACATGAACGGCCCAACAGATAAAACTGTATCTTCTTCACTGCACTTCCTCCTGCGTCTTGGGCTGCCGCCGCCATCAATATTTCACAATGTACACTGTAAAAACATCACGTTGGCTCACAACAAGCACTCGTGTGTTTTGGACCTTTCACCTGTGACATAGTTGGGCTCATATGGGATGTCCATAATAATAATATATTAATTATAAAACTAATTCCCCATAGTTCCAGCAAAAGACATAAAATGAATTACACACACTTAATAAACAGTAATACACACTCATGGGATCAAATCAATTGAGACAATAAATAAAATATATACTGATAATAAAACAAGGAAACTGGGACCATTCAATGGGGATTTATAGGACATGTGCTGTAAAGAAGGAGGAAAATAAGTAAGGAAGACAAGTAGGTTGTTTGACGAGGATTCACTCTGACGCCTGCCACATTGGATTGTTACCTCTTTGTGAATAAGGAAATAATTGTGTGTTAAGGAAAGAATGTGTTTTGAGGCAAAGGAGAAAGAGCTGTTTTAACAGGTTAAAGGTTTGGGGTAAAGCAACATGATTTAGAATGATAGAGGAAGATTGCTGTAATCAACCAGACGAGGAAGCCATCTTAGCACGAGTAGACGCTTACAAACAACAAACATTTTCCCACGTGGTCAAATACCATTTAGCCGGTTCATTATTCAGATCCAGCGCTCACTGAGCCAACGTAATGGCCGTATATTCCCTAGAATATGGCTGAGCAGGATCAATGTTCTGGCACAGCATTTTTTCTGAATGCCTCACATTCATTTTTTAACGCTAGAAATCCTGAAAACTATTCGGGTGCGTCGACTTGACCACAACAACGGAGCAGCAGGCCGAAAGTCGGATGAGCCAGGAGAGGCAGTGGGGATGAAAAAGGCTCTGAGGTTGCAGTGTAATAAAGCCCGACGCCTGAGGGAGAGAACAATCCTGGTGTCTTCATCGCATGAGCCGTTACGTAAGCAGCTGTTGGTACACAGACCGTGATAAAACATTGATTCCGGTTTACCACATTTGGTGATTACCCTGACAAATACAGGAAACGTGCTCCTTGCCTTTGCATATTCAGTATTAGAAACACACTTGTGCCAAAAGTCAAGTTTGCAGTGAAATTATTAGTCGATCTTCGTACAGAATATCTCATGTGTTTGACACGGCAGGCGAATCGAAATGATCATGTCTGACATTAGATATCTGATCTCTCTTTATCTTTATTGTGGGTGTTTACTTGATATTGCACTTTGCGCGGGCCGCCGAGTGACTCGCACTAATTAAATTGTGATCTCCCAGCAGGCTTTTATTGAGTGGCCATATGGACTTAGTAGTTAAAAAAAAAAAATCATTGAGCTGGAATGCGGAGCAGCTAGAAACTTTCAGGATGCTTTAAAGAGTTACAACAAAAGAAGCTTGAACTCAACTCCCTCTGAATGTGGGTGAAAAAGTCATCACTGGCATGAACATTAGGCAGGATCACGTTGCTTATCGGACACAGAGCCTCCCCAATATAGACACAACATACACCTGCACTGACAAGGCTTTAAATGCAACACATATTCACTGTTAGTTTCCAAATAACAGCTCTAGTATCAGGCTTCACTTTCCATCAGGCTTTATTTAATTAAATGCTGGTTGGTTTATTATTTCTAATATGATAATATGCTATTTACAGAAAAAGCCAGTATGCCTGTTAAAAGTAGAAATTTTATATTCATTGTATTTGGATATTTGCTAACCAGAATACATTTAACTGATGACTGACTGGAACATGCAGTTGCATTATTAAGTCAATCTACAGTTAAACATTAACAAAACATTTTCCCCTTGAGGAATTACTTGCATGTGGTTTGAAGTGAAAAAGATAAAACATACTATGATAATCTTTTTATAAGAGCTTTTATATGCTGCTTCTTGTACATTTCTATGTGATTCAGGCCCAACCCCCCCTTCCCACATGCAGGGGGGGGCGTGGTGTCGGACTGCAATCGATTCAAGGACATGTCCTCAACCATGTCTACAATGGCGATGACTACAGCCCACTGCAGTATGCTGCCTTATGAACGGGAACAGCAGGGCACCTACATACACATCTGCTGCATGTACATATACACAGCACATGCAATATATATATATATCTGTCAACATCTGGTTAAAAATTTAGTTTCCATCACAAATGCCTTTATTAACCATTGTTTTACCAAAATATAAGAGTACAAATACATGTATTTTAGACATGCAAACATGGTTCACTTCGAAAGAGAAAACAAAAGACAGCACGTATTATAGATGAACAGACAAATGACTTCAGATGTTACAGACGGTTGCATAGGATTTACAAAACCAAAAGACTTAACAGTCAATTCAGTACCAAAGAATGGTTGAGACTAATTTAGGCTTCCCAAATTGACAGAAAAAAGCAGTAAAACATTACACATAATGGAAACCATCTTTCATACATATATATATATATATATATATATATATATATATATATATATATATATATATATATATATATAGTGACTTTCAACCTTCTCTTGTTCTCCCTCAAAGTGCATTAGACCTGTCTGCTCAGTACATCTACAATCATAAGTCGCTTATTAGTATCTGGGATTACCGATCTTGCCCAGATGTATCCCCCTGTCATTGTCCAGAGTCCATGTTTGCATCCATCAGTAATCACAACTTCTTAACAAACAAGCATTTGCATTCTTCATTCCTCCAGCTACACATTGCTAAGCAAACTTATATTTTAGTAAGGCAGTGTACACAGTTGTTTCCAATGTAATCCTTTCTTTCAGATACACTGCTCCCATTGTGCTACATATATCAGGGGAGATTCTGCAGAAAACATTCTTTTGAGACAAATTACTGCAGTTAGTAACCAGAATATTGTGATCATTCAATATAGCAGCTAGTGTGCTTTAGGATTTCTTTGAGTTTGGGCAACTACATTGTTTCTCAACTTCCCATGATCATCTGAAGACAACTTGTCCAATTCACCTCACAACTTCGCTTTGAAAATACTTACACACACACACAAAACGTAGAACAGTAACGGGAAGACATTCAATATGAAACATTAAGACATTTATATACATAAATATATACCTGTGAATTCTGAAGCTCTATGGTAGCTGGTAGCTCTATGGTACCAAGCTTTATGGTAGAGATGCAAACAGCAGTAAAACTTTGCGCAGGTATTTTACTAGTTTCCACGTTACAGCATGTCAATGTCCTTTATGTTATCACAAATCTGGTCGGGACATGTCAAAACCAAATGTTAAAATCTAAAAAATCTAATCTGTGTGAGGAGTGATGCTTCATATAATGAGTTCTGGTTTGGCCCAGTATGAATGTTTGTACAAGGTTTACAGAACAATGTGCAAATACACACTGATTCAACAACATAACACACGTTAAGCATTGTCCATCCCAGAGCGTCTATATCCACGGTGGACTCAAACTAACAGGCGATAAAATGCAAGTCTGTGTGTGATAAATGGAGAGAAAGGTCACTTTAACTGTGATGGCCATCTATCACTTTAGCAAAACTATTCTAACAACATCGTATTCAGAGACAAACATTGCAGATGGTGGAACGGCTCCAAAGACAAAGTGTTTACAGGAATAGTCTTTTTCCACATCCCAACCTGATGGGCTATTAAAATGGAGAGCCTCCCTCTACGGCCGTGATGATGTAAACAAAAGTGATCTTCCGATTACAGTCAGAGCACTGGAAATAAAAGCATGGAGCTTGTTGTTCCTCTATTTGCTAAACTGGAGTCTCAACTTGCCAAAATCATTCATGATATTCTACACTTACAGAAAGCACAATGAAGATTTACTTTGGAATTAAACGTGTTTTCCTACGACGGGCAAGCATGTTCACCACAAAGTACAGGTGTGGAAGACAGACCACCAGGGGAATAAACGCTTTTGTCTGTGAATGGTACGACTGCTTGGTGAACATCATTTATGGTCAAAGGAATGAAAATGAAGTGTCAAACAGCCCGGCGGCTGACACCCCTTCAGTCAGGTGTTAAGCGCAGCACTATTCATGCACAGTGGTGAGGATATTATCATACACTTTCACAGCAGTTTAAATTATTTGTCCAGTGAAATAGCTACTTGATCAAGAACACTGCGTCATGGAAAACAGTTACACAGTGCAATCAACCATAGAAATGAATACGCATTGTGTTTTCAATGTATCCGCTAGAAAATAATTGCTGCAAAAATAAAAACTGCTTTAAAACGATCAACCTGAAGAAGAAGAGAAAGGGTCTGAGGTAAATTTAACCTGGCAAACATTGCTACTATAAATGTATTTCCTGGTTTTGCTTACAGCTTACAGTGTTTCCTTCCTATCACAGTAGAGTATGAGCGTGTCGAGGCCCATTCTTTATAAACACACACTTTATGCTTTCATAGATGATGCAGTTATAATTTAGCTACAACGTTTTCTTTCCCTTTGAACTTTGGTTAGCAATCCTTGAACAATGAACTTTTTTTTTTTTTTTTTATAATTCGGCTAAGAAATATACAATGTGTGTTGAATAGGTGCAAATATATTGCTGGTTTATGAAGATTAAAAGCCACAAACTAAATCTCGGTTCCTGTAAAAGTTTAATTTTTAGTTGTTAAAGTTTAAGTATGACAGCCATAAAATGCATTTAGTCAAGCCAAATGAAGAAAATACTGTATTCAAAATATTCATTGCACAACTTCCCACATCAAGGCTTTAAATAAGGCATTTTCAATGGTATGACAGAGGGTAATTGTTTGGTTATTTTGTTGTTGTTGTTGTTGTTTTTTATAAAATAACCTACCAAATGTCTTAGTTCTGTCAACTCAATAAGACAAAGTGTGTGTGTGTGTGTGTTTCCCCCAGCCTGCAGGAGAGGAATATTATATATATAAGAATATTATACTAGGTTGATATCCATATTAGCCCAAATGTGAGGCTTTCTGGTTCTTATCAACACGATATATTTGCACACATGCGAAACACAACTGACCATTTAAAACATCTCCCTGCCATCGCATCATTTTTCAGCATCCCCTGAAAGGCACAGTGATGCCAAAAGTTGGCAATGCCCTGCACGTTTCCCATGTCACGTGTTTCTACATTACATAACGTGACTGTGCCCTCCCGAAGGTCACCAACAGAAGGCCCTGACGTCAAGGCAATTTATCTACCAGGATCCCTCTCCAGGCACCCATCAACGGCGTGTACCGCCAATCTTTGATCGTACATATGTTACCGCGTCGGGGCAAATATTCGAATTATAATGAGTATAGTATAAGTATTTTTCAGTGTCGCGGCTCTGTGTGCAGCTCGCCGTTTGAGAAAAGAACATCTTTAATAAGCCACAGTCATACTTAAGGTGCCCGGTGATCAGTTACGCGCAAATTTACGCACGCAGTGTGCCACTGCAGACCACAAGCACGACAGCGCTCAGATAAAGTGAATCCATCCATTCTCCCATTCCCGCGGCGGGGACATCTTGAACCGGTGACGCCGAACTTTGTAGTTGTTCCCGTTATTATTGTCCCAGAACTCCGTCCCGCCGACACAGTATTTGATTGCGAACTGAAAGGTGCCTCCGTTGTCGAGGTAAGTGGGCATGACTATCTTGAAACGGAACTTGTCAGTGTCCCCTTTGCTGGAGTCCGGCACGTATGAGGCCAGGCTGTCCATACATGTTAGCCAGTTATTCAGAGAATAGCGCAAAGAGACGCTCTTTTCGAAAGCCAGATTCAGCACGCGCACAAACCCGGACATGCTGAATTCGTCCACCTGCACGGTCTCCAGCAGGACCTTCACCTCCCTCACTTTCTGCTCAAAGCCCGGTAGCGTCCCCGGGTTGGTGAACTGCAACTCCATCAGCATAGACTGCGCAGGGGCGCGCGGGAATTTGGTGTCCAGGTGATGGAGGTCGGGGTGTCCCTTGGCCAGTTTGGCCAGTATGCGCTCCGGCACCTCTGGCTCATCTGTATCGTCGAAGTGCTTCACCGAAATGAGCTCCAGGCCGAGGGAGTCGGCGAAGCGGACCCTTTTCTGACTGGTTGGACTCCTGCTGCGGGATATCTCCAACTTGGCTCTCTCGGTGGGCGTGGGCAGAGATTTGCACCTGCGGCGCAGACTCGGACTCTGTGGCGGCTTCAGGAAGACCTCTCTGCCCCTCGGTCTCTCTTCCACCACGGGGCTCTCGATGGCTTCACAGGTGGCGTGCATCGTGTCGAAATCTTCCCCGTCGTCGAGGCGCGGGTTCGCCGCTGCCAGGCTGCCGAACAGTCCGGCTATGCAGCTGTAGTTCCTCGGCAGGCAATTCTTAGGGGGCAGCATGATCACGGCGTGACGCGCGCACACAGCTTCCATAAAATGCAGCAGTTCCTTGCACTGCGGAGTCCGAGTCGGTCGTGATGACCGACCTGCGCGTCGAGCGATGCGGCCGTCAGGTGTCAGTGTCTCCCCCTCGCCGATAGGCGCTCCGGCTGCGTCACGGGTTGACAGCGTGCAGCTCTGGACCAATAGAAACAAGTGCTTGTTGGGGCTTAGAGATCGGTTACTTTACATTTCGGTGTGTGTGATGAAAAGCAATATACATCACACTGTCTGCTTATTGCAAATATGTATATATTAAATAAGGAAACCGCTTTCCTCTCGGCTGCGAGCATCGCTCGTCATTATTTCCATGTGGTGACGTGCGGCGTCCTCTCACAGCTGACGAGTGTGACGTCAGCTGAAGCTCTACGTGCAGAAGTGAATGTCTCGCCCAACCAAAATGGCTTCCTCCTTCACAAGAGGCAAGCCGGTTTACTTCCTCTAGTTCACACTGTGGCTCGATCCTTGGTCTAATGTCCCCAGTCAAGCGTAAAGAAACGACATTATAAATAAAATTTGCATTATTCATGCCATCATTTCCCGACCATTAAGTCTCCTCCGTGTTACTTTATTCTATTGTACTACGATGAGTTATTGCACAGATGTTATATTTCATCTGGAGCTCTGACAGCAGCACATTCAGCCCGCCCCCTTTCGTCACGTCACATCCTCTCAGCGCAGCCTCTACGGGTTGCTATGGCGACGGTGTTGCAGCTCGTCGCTACAGACATTCACTGCTGTTACTACACTTTGTCGACCGGAAAGGAAAGTGACCACGGTGAGTAGTGACACAACTTTATGAGACAACTTTATTATAGTTTTTTATGAGTCAAAATCAACACGGTGAGTAAAGATTGATGTGACGTTTCTAACGTTTTAAACAAAGCTCTTTGTTCCTGGTTCTGTTTATTTGTAGTTACCACCATGACTGCATGATGGCGACACAAAAAGAAGCGGAGCCCCCAGCTGTGAATGGATCCGACCAGGAGCTTCCAACACAACAGGAGCTCTGGGAGCCGACACCGGAGAGGGGACATGTGGATGTCCTTCTAGATATTAGCGAGGAGGACTTCATGAAAGAAATGGAGCCACACGAGTATCACTGTTACTCCGGTTTGGAAGAAGCTGTAAGCAAATGAATATCTTCTTAGTAACCTTGCCTTGATCTGATTTAGTGATGTATCGTTAAGCTTTTGTACCAACAATGCATGTTGATTTTAAATGTCAGCGGAAAAATCCCTTTCAGATAAGAACAAATGTATAAACCATCTGCTGCAATTACTTATTCATTATTATTCCAAGTATTTTCACAGTCACAGGATTTATCCGAATATTGGTAAAAGTTACTCAGTCGTACCTTCTATCATCATTCCCACATACTTTCAGCATTGATATGGCTCAATGAGTAATTATTTTCAGTTGAAACATATTAAAACTCTTATTCTGTTAACAGGTTCATGGTTGGGCAAGAGTTGCTCCACTGAGCTGTATATTTTTGACTCAAAAAACCTGCAAAAAAACAAAGCAGGCTGACAAGCCAATGCCCTTGTGCGTTGACCCGGCAACCCCTGATGCCAACAGCTCAACCTGGATCGCAGAGAACCGCTGTGAGTCTCAAGGGGGCCCGCAAAACAGCTTCAAGAAATCCCTCGCACCGAACCAGCACGCGGGCTGCTCGGGTAACACCGACTCGGCAGCTCTGCAGAAGGATGCTTCAGAATGGCCCGTCCTCACTCCCATCCAGACAACCACGTCAAAACCTCCACTCAAAGAAAAGGCAGAGAGGGAAGAGGCACTCAGGGCCACGTCTGCGCAGGCTCACCACTTCCGCTCAAAATACTCGGACAACGGAGCAGCTAAGCCTCAGAAACACAGGCCTCATATGATGTTTCCCATTAAAAACTTAACATTTTTACCACCAATTACGTTACAGCCCGCGAATCACCGGAAAGCCAGTGGCAAGAAGGCCCAAGAAGGGGGATCTACAGGGGGAAATATCTTCAATGCCAAGAGCAGGATGAAGGCAGCTGGCGTGGAGCACGTTGTTGACCCTGAGCTTCCCACTTACTCTGCAGTCCTGACCTCCAAGTACCGGCCATGTCAGCTCAACCCCGACTTGTTCTCTGCACCCAATAGGTATCAAGTACCCATGTCTTCCAAACCTGAGACCGGGCACCGCCATAGCTACGCACTGGCCAGGAGGCTCGCACAGGTCCTCCAGTCCAGCGCAGCATCAGGTCCACACGCCCACGTGTACCCGAGCAGGACTATGTACTATGCAGTCACTTGAACATCTCAGATTCAACAAACTGATAAAACAACAGTTTTATCAGTTTGCTTTTTATCGTGATTGCCTCAGACTCACATTTTGTTGTTTCCATTACATTACTTGGTAAAATATATACAAGTATGTGACATGTTCATTAAGGCAAACTAGTCCTGGCTGGAATCAGAAGGATCTACACATAACAGTCAAGTGAACAGATCCTTAAATGTTAAGCTATTTGTGTCATTAGAGCCTTTGTTTTGTTCTAGTTCCCACAAGTTCTTCTTCAGCTGTTGCAGTTACCTAGCAACGGTGCAGCTACCTCATAAGGAGCGAGGCAGTGCGTCTGCTTCCACTTAAACCTGAGCCCCGAGTTGCAGAACTGTTAGGACCGCGATGCACTGCAGACCACACGCGATGACTTCCACACGTCGCCAAACTACTGCATCTGCTGTCAAATTGGATTGTATTTAACTTTTAAGCAGGGTGTCCCTGACATATGTGGATGGGTTCTGGGTTACTATTGTACCAGGTATCAGCGCAGCATTATGCTGAGGTCCTTAATGCTGCAAGTCATGTTGGTCAACATTATTTACAATGTGAGATGCATGTAGCGGGGGGGGTGGGGGGTCGGAGATCCTGACAACAGCAGGATCTTGTTACATTGATTTCTTTACAAAAGGATCTTCTTACATTGCCTCTCTATACTACCTCTGATCCGCTTAGTGGGATTGTTCAATAATTAAAATAGCTGCTGTGTAAGCCTAATTAAAAGAATTGAAATAGTCCTACCTGAATGTGTCTGGACATGCAAAAAACTTGATTTACACAAGAGAACAAAATGTATAACACATTGTACAATTTATTCCACTGTGCTCTTTAGTGACCATGAGCACAATTTCAGAAGTTTATTACGAACATCTGTAGTGAAGCTTCAAAAATAAATCAAGGCAACCATCAACTCTACACATACAGGCACAAACTTAACTTGTTCTCAAACAAGTATTCTGTGCTGGGAAAATATCTGCATGCGCTCCCTATAAAGAGAAAATAAAGCACTGTAACGGACACTTAAGACGGAGAGGCTTCGACATAGTTATGTTTAAAGCAAGTCAAACATGTGTGTCAGCAGGGAGAAGCTGTGAAGACAGCAAAGTCCTTATAACCACCGGCAAATTATCCTTAAACAGTTTGGACATAATGCATAAAAACAGAGCATGTTATATGTGGGGCACTGTCTCCGTTCTGTTGATTCTTCAGTTTCGACCCTTCAACGAAACCCTTTATACTAGTTATCTTCCATAAAATGCTGCATAGCATCGTTTCCACGTGACAGAACAGAAATCAATAGCAACTATCCAGGACAATATTTCATGCAAGCGATGAAAATCCCAAAGTTGTTCATTTTTCTGCAACATAAATCGTGGGCAATTCAGATCGTTATTTTAAAGCAGCACATTGTCTGTAACAGAAGAAAAACTAATACTTAGGTTAAGGCACCAACAAAAACAAAATGAACACGTAATCAAGGCCTTCAGCTCGAGGCTCCCAAAGTAAAACACAGAGTGGGGGGGCGCGCTGGTTAAAAGAGGTAACTTGGTGCAAATATATAATGGAATCGTAACATTAACTTTAGTTACTTGGAGAACGGATTAAAGAATGAATAAGTGGTGCCTGTTAAGGTTGGACAACCTGATGATTCTAGCAAGCGATCCTCAAAATAAGGGGGTGAATACGTCCAACATCAGTGGTGAACCGCTATGCGTCTCTGTACAGTAACATTACTGCAGCTGGATATCCTTATAGCTTATTAATCACAACTACACACTTCAACTGACTGTTGACTGGCTGCAGAGGCCCAAAACACACAGAAAAAATATATTTTAAGAAACATCAAACTTCACAATCACATTTCAATTAAATGTGTGCAACAACTTACAAGATCAAACAGTTTTGCTTGTGCCACATCTGTATGAGTAACGCTTTGTTTCAGAGATGCATCCTAACGGCTTTAAGCAAAGCCTTGTTCACTGTTAAAGGCTTTATGGGATTTTACTTCATGAAAAATATAAAGCCGACTTCCACTGGTCGACTACTGGGTGCAAAGCTTGCAGGATGTTTTTAGAGTTCATAGAGTTGCTGGCCACTGGCAAGGCGACATCAACGATGCACAAGCTTAGAGTAGATATATAATGTTCCTCTACTGCGGACCACGTGAATGCTTCATGCACATTTCCAAACATAAACCAAATGTATGACAAGATTCGCCGTACAGCTGAGACCACATTGTATTCATGCAGAATATGCATATCTGAGCGCCGGCATATGTTATAAGCTAAATTATAAGCCTTTTGTTGACAACAACGCACAGCTAACAATGTCATCTCTTTTAAAGGTGCAGATCTTACATTGAGGAAATGTTGAGTCATTTTTAAACCGCTAGTAAGACAGTTAAAACCAGTCACACTGGTTGTACATTGAAAAAATTAAAGTAAACTGGCATTTCAGACAAAATACACATACAATACATTACCTTATGTGCAAATAAATACGTAAACTGTCACCGGAGTGGCTGAGTCATGCCCGTTGAGCAATTAAAGTGCGGTCAGGATGTGCACCCGGAAAGGCTCTGGACATGATGTCTCCAGTGGAATGTTCTAAGACATTTTTTTGGCAGACTTCTTACTGCTTGGACTGTGGTCCACTGGGGGACAGCGCCAACCGTTTCCTCTTCCTGGGCCAAGCGGACGGGAGAATCCTGCTCAGGCAGACTCACTGAGAAGGGCTTCAGCTGTTGGGCCTCTCGGGGTGCTGAAAAAGAGCGCAAAGCTCCTCGCACGTCTGGGTTTCCACGGAGCTGAAGTGAGACTCCATGTTCCACGCCAGGTCGGCTGACAAGAAGTCATCCATGACCGTCTGCGTTTCGTTGCTCGTCAGGAAGAGGTGACCCAGGCCCTCGGCCTGGCTGGTCACAGTCTGCGTCTCTGTGCTGTTCAGCAGCCTGCCGTGTTCCCCCTGACTCACAAGAGTCTGGGCGGACAGGCCGGAGGAGAATAAAGGGAGATCCGTCTGGGTTTCTGTATCCGAAGACTCGGTGCTCATGGAAAAGCTGGAATGTCGCAGGATGCTGCTCAGGGGCATGTGGCTCCCGGCGTTCAGGAGGAAATTGAGGTCGGTCTGAGTCTGAGTATCGAATAGCTCCAGGTCGCTGGCCTGGGTTCGACTTGGTCCCTCATTTTGGTCTAGTTCGTCCATCAGGAGGAAGTCGGTCTGGGTCTGGATGTCAAGGGACTCCAGCGGCGCGTCCCCGCCCAGTCCTCCCAGCTCGCTCTCCTCCGTCTGGGTCTGGATGTGCACGGCGTTGAGGAACTCCTCAAAGTCAAAGTCGATGCCATTGTGCTGCTCCTGGACAGAACCCAGAACCGACCCGCAGCCTTCCGACGCCGCCGTGAGCTCCTGGTGGCCCGACATGCTGTCGGACAGAATGTGCTCAAGGTCATTCAACAAGGTCATCGTTTGGGTCTGATTATCTGCCATGTTGTTTGAGTTGAGCTCATCCGTCTGCACCCCGAAACACATTCCCCCGGCTGACTTGGGGTCCTCATAGATGCTGCTGCCGCCGAGCGTGTTGTGGATGTCCAGAGCGGTCTGAGTGGACACGCTGAGGGAGTCGCTGCCGAAGAGGTCGGAGCACATCATGGCGTGCTGCTGAGCCTTGTCGTCTGCCAGAGACGTCTGCGTCTGCCTGGTCTTGTATGGCGGCGCCAGCGAAGGAGGATAAGAAATTTCGGCAACGCTCTGAGTGTCTGTCTGAGCTCCAATGGAGGACGTGGCTCTCGCCTGGGAGGAGAAGGTCTGGGTTTCAACACTGACCGGCAGCAGCACTTGGGCACTCACGCTTATGTCTGTTTGGGCGCAGGACGACACAGAGGACTCGCCCCCCGGGTACAACCCCATCCCCTCGGCGACCCCCGCGCCTGTGGGCATTTCCGACAAGTACGACTTGTCCGTCTGAATGTTGGTGGAGGTGATTCTTCCCCGTTGTTCCACCAGGGTACCCGTGCTGGCAGGGTCCAGACTCGCCTGCACGCCGGTGCTGATCGGCCCGAGGCTCGAGCGGGACGTGGGCATGCTGTCCTTGAAACACAAGCTCTTGGCGTCCAGCTGGGGCACCACAGCTCCGTGCGGCAGCAGGTGGAGGGTGCCGACGGAGCCTCGGCTGTCCACAGCCAGCACCACAGACCTCAGAGCGCCGCCGTCTGTAGACGGGAGGAGGACGGGCAGGTGGGCCAGCTGCATCACAGGAACACTGACCAAAGCCATCTTGGGCTTTGGCAGGAGCAGCTTCTGGAGGCTCCTGCGGGGGTTGGAGTTCTGATTCGCCAAATCCGCGATGTGGACAGTTGCACCGGACGGGGGCCCAGTCTCTGTCAGCACTGTGCTAGCGGGCCGGATCGGACAGGTTGACTCGTTGGTCGTAACCTTTTCAGGATCCCTTAACATTTTCTCCATCTTTCGCTTTTTCACTGGGGGAATTCTGTAAAAGGAAAAAAAAAGGGACACAAGAGAAAGCCAGACAAATTAATGTTGAGCCAAACGTTAGGACAAGCTTCAGGACGAATCCCGTTGGGCTTGGCGGGTACATGCCTGTGTTCTGTAGGGATCTCGTGACCGGTTCTGTAGATGTGTGAGAGTAGAGCCGCCCTGCTGGCGTAGGGGCAGCCGCACGTGCACTGGTACGTCTTGCCGCAGTCCTCTATGTGCCTCTTTAGGTCCCACTCGGTGCTGTAGCCGTTGGTGCACTTGAAGCACTTGTGTTTTTTTTCTGCATGCATCTTCATGAAGTGCTACAATAAAACAAAAGAAAGACCAAAGAACACGTTGCATACAGTTGATATTATCTGTTTTCCTTCTTTTATTCTCAGCATTGTGGGAGGGCTTGCAGATCGAAGAGGGTTTTATTCACATCATTCCTTTAAAAATTGACGTTTCAAACATATTTGGTGAGCAGCAACATTTCTATTCTACAGAACTGAAACCTCATCCTTCAATTTCATTGATCGCGAGGATAGAGTTACATATCATTGAAGGAACGGCTTACTTGTTTAACCAGGGAGAACTGGGAGAAGGGTCTGTTGGGCCCCCTGGGACAACCCTCAATTGGACAGCAGTAGAGCTTCTGAGAGCCCTTCATGTCCTTTCGGATGGTAGGATTCACAATACCATCCTGACGATACCAGCGAAAGACAAAAGAAAGAGGACAAAGCAGAGACATATTAGCATTTCAGCTGTTCATTACTCAGTGGCCATGGCTTATCGTAAGTGTTAAAGAATGAATAAGTACATTTAAAGTTGGAAAGTTGAACTGAGGTTTTCCTTAACCTACAATCTACAACTGCTGTAAAGAAAAAGATACTCAAAGTGAACTATGGAGTAAAACTACAATGCTGTGAAATTATACCAATATCTGAAAGGTGACAGGAAGGGGTTGACAGCTATGATCTCAGATATTCCATATAGAACCTAAATGTTCAGGGGATAGCACACTGAATAAGATTGAATACATTGAATGAACGGTAAACAGAAAAACCCATCAACGTTCAGAACGGTCGTTACAACTGCAGCCTTGCAGTGGTCGCAGTCACCTCCATCTGCTGTAGCGCTGGAGGAAGCCCAACAGCTAGAGCTGACAAACACCCTCTGGCTTATCATGAGGAGTTAGCATAAACAGGTGATTTGTCTTTAGCGATCTGGTCGTACGTGGACCCCTGAGTCAGGTCACTCAATAGCTGGCTGTGGCCCAACAGAAGGAGAAACTCAACATCCCCGTCCTTTGCCAGACCACGTTGAGTTCAGTCTCTTAAGTGGCCATCGGCGAGTTTATTTCCTTATTCTGGGACCAAGTTCAACGCAGTGATGCCTCAGACTAACAGTAGAATTAGGCCGGTGATATAGACAGAAATATGAGCTGAATCTGCCCTAAACAGACATTTTATGAACTGGGGGAAGGAGTCTGAACCGGAATGAGTGAAAAAAGTTCAAATAAACTAAGTAAGTCGTCACAACCCACTAGAATAGGGTTGTGATATAATACATTACTTCTGTGATTTGCGTGCAGTAAAAATACAGATGGTAGCAAGCGTACATAATTCAAACGCACATGGTGCCCGACAACAGGGCATCAGGGCTCATTCTTGCAGCCAGACGTGAATAATGAATGAATGAATAAAATAGAGTGAGCACAGTTCGCTTTTCTTCTATATCATGTCAAGAACAAGATATCATTTCCACTGCTGATAGAAGTATATTCTGCTCCCTTCCCCCTCTCTATTTACACAACTTCTAAAAAGGTCGTCTGTGATGAAAGTGTGACAGAGCATTAAAACACAAGGATGTGGGTTTGGGATCTGCGTTGGAAGACGTTTAGCAGGCCTACAAGAAGCAATCCACATGAACAGAAAACTATACACACACACTCAAAGTTACACTTAGATTATGACTTGACAACAGAATTGACGCAAACTAGTATTCCTGATTGCACCCTTGCTTTGTATAGAATTGTGCCTTTATTCACTCTTGCAGCTGCACAACCTGAAAGGCTTCCAAGATCTCGTTGGAACAAAAGGCAACCTTTCCCAGCAAAGAACTTTATTCATGGGGGGGGATTAGATGTCTTATTGGTAGCAGCCAGTCAGTTAGAAGTGAGACCACCGATAGTGGCGTGTGGTCAGAAAGAGGCCATTAACCATTACGTCAGAATACACGCTTTTATTTCGCACACTAGCCATCAGCGTCAAATGCAGAAAACTGCTAAAAATAATTCCTGTCCGCAACAACAAATAGTTGCCATGGTGAATCTAAGAGGGGAACTAATGAATCAGAAAGAGGGGGAAAAGCCGCGACCATCGGCGTGAATGGGTGACGTCATCTGACAGGGGGGACAGCACGGGGCGTCACTTGCAGACCAAAAAACAACTTTTATCAAACGCTAAAAAAAATAAACGCCTATACACGGTGACGTTTGCTACACCCCGGATGTTTGGGATGACTTGCGTTTTCCAGGGTAACGACACACGATAACAAGTTAGCATCGCAGTCACGTGGGAGCCTAAAGTAGGCGAGCGTTAGCCGTCGTTTACCTTCACTCGGTGCGATTTAACGAGGTGCATGTTCAACGCAGGTGTATTGGGGAGAATCTTGCCACATCCTTCCACGGTGCAGAGGATGTTCGTCCTCACTTCTTTGGTCAGCTCCGTGATGGAAGGTTTTATTATGTCCCGTGACTGCGACAGAGGCTCTCCGGGACGCCGCGGACTGTCAGCAGCGTTGCTATCTCTGTTTCGTGCCTTGCTCGTCGCAGAGGCAGCCATGTTTCTATGTTGTCAGTCCATCTGTGTTTGGAAGAGAAGCCTGGACGAGGCATTGAGTGAAGGGTGCAATTCAGTCCCTCAGCATTGTCTGAAAGGCTGCTTCGCCGAGAGGACGTTGGGACGGCGCAACACGTCACATCCGGTGTAATGTTACACTTCCGTTTAGACTCGAATTTCGCTGCCTTGATCATGTGTCTTGTTTAGAATTGTTATTACCAAAAACATAGGATTTATTCTATATTAATATATTAAAAAACGGAATGTAAATTTGTTAATTTTCAGTTGTGTGATTTTACTTTTGCGAGGTATCAAAGACTGAATGGCTCGTGATGGGATCATAGTGGGTGTAAAAAGGATTGTCAGGCCAAAAAGGCATTTAAAATATACCCATCTTATATGCAGTTTGAAAATGTGTTTTTGAGTGGAACAGCGCCTTTGAACTCTACCCCATCTCTTTCAGTGTAGGTGTGATGGGAAGGAATCACTTCACCGTCAGTATTGACAGGAGTAACCATCAACTTTCAATGTGCATGTGGGCATCGGGGACGGACTTGTAAAATTCAATGCTTTGTGCACAAACCAGTGTTTATATAAAGCCTGAAACCAGCACCTGAAATGCTAATTAATCACAACTTAATGACATTCGATTTCAGACTTGTATAAAAAGCCAATATTCCACCATGTATTTTTGTAACAAAATGCACAACAAAAACATATTACAGTGCGGGAAGAATTGATGTGAAGAAAATACAAGAATGTTAAAAAGCTTGCTTTTAATTTAATTTGTACACTTCATGCATAATACATTTTGCCACTTTGACACCAACAAAAGGTAATACAATAAAATAATCTATAGCCAACATGTCAGCACATGTTAACAACTGTAAGCACGTAGACCGGGTTGATAAAAGCAAACTACAGGTGAACTAGACAATACAGGCCACACGGTGAATCCTTCAAACCTGTGGTTGGCCCCGTTGGGATGAAGGACCAGGACCATTGTCTGTGATGAGAAAATAATTTCTTCCTTTTAGGGGGATACATGAGAGCAGTGGTGTGACAGGGGTGGAGGCAATTCCTGTAAAACACATTTAAAAAATGATAAAACATCCACAAAAAAGAAAATGCTTATGATTCTGTTGGCATGGTTAAAAATGTCACAAATTATCAAGGGACAGTGGGGGTAAAACACTTAATTGACTGGGATATATTCATGAGGAATAAGGTTGTAAGAGCATTACAGTGGCGATATTTCCTCTAGTGTAGTGTGTGCGTGCATGTGTGCGGCCTCTTGTGGTCATTTATGGAGTTGCCAGGAAAATCCTTACTTCTTTTACTGAGATACAACCCGTGTGTATGGTTGGTGTATGCTTTTGGTTAACAAACTATTGTTACCTGAAGATGCGCAGTGTCGGAATGACTCCAGGAGGTTAGTGCTTGTGAATTTGACAACACATCTGAAGGGTTCCTCCCGCTCTGTCATGGTCTTGTTGGAGTGGTCTCTGAATTTTGTCTCCAGCTGAGGAAAAAAACAAGGCATGAGATCTTCACAGGGTGAAACTGAGATTTTATTTCAATCTTTGAACTCGTATAGCAAGACAGCGAAGCGAGCCTCTGAATACCTTGTAAACGGCAGACTGTAGCTGAGGTAACATCCCGCCACCAAAGGCCTCACAGGCCATCTGAAGTCGGTTTGCTGCAAGCTCAGCTTGTTCTTTTTCTATGTGCTGGTCTATAAATAATAGGACAAAAGCTAAATAAACATAACCACAATGCAGAATTCTTCTAGAGGAACACATTGAGCTTAAATACATAAAATATTCATATAAAGAGATGTTAAAGCGGCTTTGCTCTGATCAAAGGATGTTGTCAACATACTTGAAATGGTTTGATTATTTTCTGGAGGAGGAATTGGATACTTGGTGGGAAACACCTGGAAGTTAAAAGCAAAAACAAAACACCACATATAAAACACCAGATCAATCTTTTTCGGAATTACCTTTTTAAACAGAAGGTTTATGGTTGAAATAAGTTAGTACTCGATAAGTTAGTACGCGACTTAGTTTGTTTGTTTGTTCAGAGAATCCCAAGACATGAACTGTGACATTAGGTTTACAATCCTAAAACATCAAGCTTCTTCAATCAATACACCTAAATATTTAAGTGTAGTTAAGTTTTATGAACACATCAACTTATATTCTTACTCAACAGGTGGTCATCAAGGTCAATAACACAACGACAACTTTACTCTGAAACCAGAAACACCTCTGTAAATGATTGAGTGGGGAAGACTGACTTTGTTAGGTGGTTGTACTTCCAAAAATGGCCTACCTGTTGATACTTCTTCATCAGAAGGTCCCTAATAGCAGTGAGTTTACGTCCACTGAGGTTAGCGTCTTTAATAGCTTGATATCTGGTGGACAGAACCAAGGCCTGCAAAGTACATCACTTGCTTAAAATGGAGACAGAAAAACAATGACACACGGCAACTGTACAAAGTATTTTGAGGATTGAATATTCAGGTGTTCACCTGGGATAACAGAGGCTTCTGCTTTGAAGTGATGCTGGTCACAAAGACATACGGGGTTTGAAGATAGTGAACAATGTATGTTGGTTTCAGGTGGTTGGGTCGAGAGAACGTGTCTCCCCATGCGATACGAATCCACACAGCCTCGTCTGTGTGCTTCTTCATTTTGATAGACACCTTGAAAGCAATACAAAAACGTATAACTTAAACACAGAAGCCCATTCGACGTGTGTCAATGATGCAGCTATACAATTACTAACTGGGTGGTAATCTGCTTACATTTCTCACAAGCTCTCTGAGGTGGGATTTAAATTGTTCCTTAAACTGCGTCAGGTCTACAGATTTAGCATCATCTGGGAAAAAAAGAGAGATTAAAAGGTCATAGTAAATCCAACTGTAAAAAATAAAATTAAAAAAGGATCCAGACACCGGCAGGATATCGGACTGATTGATGTTAACAACCTTTCAACTAGCTTTTTACAATCCCAACAGCTGCAGTGTTTGGATAGTAAAAAGCAACTGTTCGAACATACCTTCAGGGTCCATGAGCTGGAAGGCATACCACATCCCCTGGTCTGGGTTGTCAATGACATCTGAGAGACAACAACACAACGTGGAGGGACACAAGACACGTGACTGGTGGCCCGAATGAGTGTGACGTTAGCGAGATAATTCCACGCGACTCACGTATCATCTCGAGGTCTGTGAGTTGTTTCACCGCCAGCTCGTTTTCCTAAAACGTTACGTCAGATGTTTAAAGGAGAGGAAACACAGAGCAGCTCCAACTAGCTTAACGTTTACGTTAAACGCCGTGTACACCTGCATGTGTATCAAGTTACGTGCCGTTATATTTTAGGTCAACTAACGTTAATTTGTATCTCGGAAAAAATGGCGCTGTTTACCTCGCATATGCCGAGCAGCCGTTCCGTTAACGCCCATTTGGACTGAGTGAAATCCATTGACTTCTGCTGCTCGGTGGTCAAACGGCCCCACTTCTCCAGCGCGCTGCGCAGCGTCGGAGTCGGTATCCGTCGCATGAGTCGCTGCAGCAAACGTTTCGCGGAGTCATCCATTCCCGTCCAGGCGGTTTGGATATCTAACGTTAGCTTTAGAAGTTGTACGTGAAGTTCTAGTAAACGGGGAGTAAAGCCGCCGGTTCCGTACAGCTCTCACAGTAATAGCGGCAATTCTGATACAAACAAACCGCCGACCGAAGAGAACACGAATTGACCAATCAGATGCGGAGACGAAAGGGCCTCGTGCCCCCTTCAGCGCCCCCTGTGGTGTCGGAGGGGTACTACTTATTCTGCTGTATTCACCAACTACGAGATGCCTGCAATTTCAACCCTACTTTTAACTATAGCACATTATATTAAGCAGGTACTAAGCAATACAATATTGATTTCTGCAGCTAAATGTCCCCTGCTGTCATAACATTATTAAGACTACATTAGTCTTAAAAATACTATGACGCAGGGTCCAGCCAGTTCCAAAAGGTTCCAGAATAAAATTTTGATACGATTCATGGGGTAGGAAAAAAGAAAATAGGTCCTACTTTTTGACTTGGTGAATATCCTACACTGTACACAGCTGTCAAAACAATTTATCTGTCTAACGTTAAACCCATTCGTTAGCGAAACCAGAAGTACGTAACGGGGAATTCTTCTGTAAACTTCCGTCTTCGACCGTCCCGCCTCTTTTTCAGAAGGACGCACTCCATTGGCGGATGAGAAAAAAAGCTGAGCGTCAATTCGCTGTCAACAATTGTCACTCACTTCACCAAACACTTACGAAAGCACCCAGCGTGTCCTGTCGGTCTCCTACTGTTCCTGTAGGTTAACGTTCATGTCACTGCAAGGCCAAACGTTTTAGTCGCAACTATCGAGGATTTACAAGAGCCCGCGTCGTTATTCTTCTGGGTGAATTGAACTCTACTGCTTAAACACACGGCCTTAACGTTAGCTACGGTTGTTAGCATTTCGCCCGCTAACGTGACACTTCGACCGAGGTTCGCTGGAAAACTTCTCAAATGACCGATCCGTTCCCCTGGTGAGGACAGCGCCGTGCACCCTGTCACCTTTTGTCCTACTGTACACCTCTACCCCCCAAACGGACCACGTGTTTCTAGACCTCACGGGCCATTCGGTCGTTCCAGAAGGAGTCCGGGTGAATGCAGGTTAAGTCGTGTCACGTTGTTGCGTTCTCTCCGTCTCATTGTGCCTTTTCTTTGTGTCCGCAGGTAAGTTAAAGTGTTCAACCAAAACCATCATCTCAATGACCGAGCAGGAAGGAGAGGGCTGGGGAGGCAGTAGTATCCTTCAGGAAAACCTTCCCTTCGCCCTGAGTGGACGTGATGCATAACAGCGACCAAGTTAACCACGACACGTTTTGTTAGAAGGGATTGAACCGTTTTAATAGACATTTTTTCATGCAAATGAGGCAATTCGGAGATGTCACCTTTTGGTTCTCATCGGCGTCATTATGATGACCCTATTAGACAGTTGTAATAGACCAAAACATCACAGAAAAGAGTGATTTGTTGCAGCCTTAATATGCTCAGCATATTCCCATTTCACTGAGAAAAGCCGTACAGCCAATAGCCGAACCGTGTTTGTTTTTAAGTCCCACGAGGGAATGTGTTGCCACCAAAGAACATCTCCCACAGTGATACCCAGCAGTAACGTACGACTCCATCATCGGTGCCCCTCTCGTTTTTGTGGACTTTCAGCATTGCGCCGGTGGTACAGTAAGCCCTTAACTCAGCATGCACTCCGACCTGTCGCCTCACCTCCACACGGCCGAGTGTAACGAACTGATAACTCGCCTCATGCAGTGTCACAAGGAGGTACGTCACGCGCCGATATTTCCGTTTTTTGTTGTTGTCGCTGTGTGCTTCATTCGCACAGAGGACCAAAATGATGTTTTCTTCCACCCTCAGCACAGTGTCATGAAGTTCTTCGGCACGTGCAACGATGTGGACCGGGATATGCGCCATTGCCTAAAAGAAGAGGTCCGTCTGTCGTTATTCATACGCTTTGAGAAAAAGATGGCTTGTATAAGAAAGGTTCTTTTAATCAAGACTTCATTGTGTGCTCCCCAATCAACAGAGACTGGAAAAGCGCGAGCGCAGCAAGCAGCACGCCGCGGAGATGAGAAAGAAGCTGAGGGCGAGGCCCAAGGAGCAGCTCTGAACGGCTTTTTTTACTGCCACTTTGCCGACTCTGGCACTCCAAGTTCCAAGTATTGAGATAGTGGGACATGCCTCAGAGGTTGGCTATGACTCTGGGGAGTTGGGGGTTGTATTTGGATTGAAACATGTTCTTGTGATACTATTTGATGAGAAAAATGAGTGAGACTGTTCTCTTATGATTACTCCTACCCCCCAGCCCCCCCTCCCCTCTGCAGTACTCTACAGCTCCATGAAATGGAGAAGTGCAAAATTGCAAATTACTCATCAAATGTTATTTATGCTGGCAGGACACATTAAGAATACACAGAATAATCAGTTTTATTCATGGAAACTATCAAAAATGTAAAAAAAATACCCCAAACAGGATGACTAGTGGCTGTGTTTGACCCTTAAAGGTCACATACACTCGTGGACATGCATGTCAAACACACTCATGGATTTTTTTGAATTTTTATTTGAGTTGATTGAATATATTAAATTGTAAGATTGATTACTTTTTAATAAAGTGAAATTATCAGGAAATATAAGAATCCATTCTTCGATGTAATGTGTCCTTATTGTAAAACAAAGTATCAGTATGTCTAAAAGACAACCCTGATCATGCTGTAAAGACAATGTTAGTCCACAGTTGTAGTTTGTAGTTAAAGGTGATGTGTCACATGTGGAGTAGTCTGACTGGAGAGTGTTTAGTCTCTGAACAGAGAACCACCTCGACCCGTTCTATGTGCATCGAGATAATCTGCCACCAGACACCGTTGTCTAGTTCCTTCTCTTGGCCGGTGTTGACCTTACTGAAAGTTGACATTTAGGTAATGAAATGTCACCGGAGTCCTCTGCATTGAGTGGACACCAGGGGTCCGTTTCAAGAAGCGGGTTTAGTGGAAACTCAGAGTTTGTTAACCCTGCGACGAGGGGAACTCAGGCTTGTCTGTTTGAGAAAGGGAGGTAACTAAAGCACAGGCTCAGTCACCATGGTAACTGAGCCTGTGAACATAATAACCTGGTCGCGAGCAGGTTTTCTTCAATAAACCTCGAGTTTCTTTCACAGTCTCCTCCCTCTGACAGCAGCCCAGCCAATGACACAGCGCTCCTTCATTTCCTCATTCATTCAAGTACTCGGTATCAGGCGGATTTTATTAGCGCAGTTTCCACATACAGTTGTGCTCATGTGTTTACATACCTTGGCAGAATTAATGATTTCTTGGTCCATTTTTCAGAGAATATGAATGATGACACAAAAACCTTTCTTTCACTTATGGTTAGTGTTTGGGTGAAGCCATTGATTATCATTCAACCGTGTTTACTCTTTTTAAATCATAATGATACCAGAAACTACCCAAATTACCCTGATCAAAAGTTTACATACCCTGGTGATTTTGGCCTGATAACATGCACAGAAGTTAACACAAACGGGTTTGAATGGCTACTAAAGGTAACCATCCACACCTGTGATCTGTTTGCATGTAAAGTGTGTGTGTATAGAAGGTCAGTGAGTTTCTGGACTCTTCATCATCACATCTTTCATCCAGTGCTGCACTGACGTTTCTGGATTCTGAGTCATGGGGAAAGCAAACAAATTGTCAAAGGATCTGCGGGAAAAGGTAATTGAACTGTATAAAACAGGGAAGGGATATTAAAAGATATTCAGAGAATTGAGAATGCCAATCAGCACTGTTCAAACTCTAATTAAGAAGTGAAAAAGTAGGGATTCTGTTGAAACCAAACCACGGTCAGGTAGACCAACCAAAATTTCAGGCATAACTGCCAGGAAAATTGTTCAGGATGCAAAGAAAACCCCACAAATAACTTCAGCTGAAATACAGGACTCTCTGAAAAAGTGTGGTGTGGCAGTTTCAAGATGCACAATAAGGAGGCACTTGAAGACAAATGGGCTGCATGGTTGAGTCGCCAGAAGAAAGCCATTACTACGCAAATGCCCCAAAGTATCCAGCTTACGATACGCCAAACAGCACAAAATTCATCAACAATGTTTTTTTTTCCTACTAATTTAATTATTTCAACATCAACAGTTGATTGTATCAGGCCTGTTATTTAAATTGTGGAAGGACAATATATACAGGAAACATCAAGTAATCCTGTTGAGCAATTGAGGTAAAAGACAAAGATGTTACCGGAAAATGACCCAGACTAATGCTCATGTTTTTTATATCTGAGTTATATAGAAAATAAAGCAGTTTCAAATTCAGAGACTGACTGAACATGCATTTGCTAATTGGTAAATGTGTGTGTGTGTGTGTGTGTGTGTGTGTGTGTGTGTGTGTGTGTATATATCTATACATATATAATCTTGGAGGAACTAAACATCTCATGTTTAGCTCGTTTGTATTAGCTGACTGGTAATAAATAAAAAAGGGTTTTTAAAAACGTTCAGATAAAACCCACAAGGGGAAAGCACTTTTTCTTTATTGAAGCAGCTCACTCCGTCCATCACAATGCACGGATCAATCTTTAACATATAGTTCTAAGGCACCCCGAGGTGTGCTTTGAGACAATGTGGGGGAAAAACATGATGGAACACGCATTAACAAGACCACACGATATTGTGTCAAACATGTCAAAACCAGTAATTTCCCATAAATAATGCTGCAAAGTTTCTTTTTTTAAAAGATACAACTAATTTACTCCAAATTTTAAGCACACTTCGAACATGGTGAGGTGGAAATTGGATTCAATGCGTACAAGTGAAGAAATGCATTTGATATCGCATGACAATTTTGAATATTTGACAAACTACATCAAATCAATGAATACATGAATACAATGCTCAGTGGTCATGAGAAAGTTACATTAACCAGGTCATTCTTGGGCACCTAAAGCCAAACAAGAGCTGCTATTGTTTTAGCAACATAACATGACTTTAGTTGAAAAAGCAAAGATAGGGATCCCTCTTGTAATAAATAAAATAAAATCCCACCCACCATTGGGAGATTACTTCAACATATACTCTTTGGTTGCCAAACTGCCCGTTAGTTTCTTCTGATGATAATAGTTCAAATAAATTCTGGTGCACTAAAATGCAGCCACAAATCATTATATTTTTCCCAAACTTTAAGTGAAGGTGTGCAGTTTCTTAAAAATACATTTCAGTTGAGTTCTCTATTATTTAAATGTCCTTCAATGCTTCATCAAAACCACTGCAAACATTCCTTACACCCAAACAAACAAACATACACACTTTGTATTCTGAAATACTGTAACAAGTATTTCATTGATCATTTTGTAACTCTAAAACTCAAATACATTATATGTTGAATTATCCAATATGGTTTTGATAATTTACAACAAAGGAACTTTGTTTGAAAAGGTACGTAATCGAGTGCCGATGGAGTTGACACACCTGGGTTTTTCAATTATCTGACTCATTTCGTCCAACAAGGACTTTCTGGGAAACCATAGAAAGAGTGATTAGGAGACGTGGCAGTGCACATTCAAACGGTTACCTCTAATAAATACAAAAATAAACCGCACCATTTCTAACTCTACTTACAATATTTATACAAAACATACCCTGGTATTCAGGCAGGCAACATATGTATATGTACAGTATGTTACATGCAATTAGTAAGACACAAGTCTACTTTATATATTATTCTGTGCTGCATGTGTACCACGGAAAATATGGACAAAATATCTTTAGAAACTATTTTCACACAACTACTGTTTTCGGGGTAAAATAAAAAGAAAGGAAAAAGATCCCTACTTATAGGCTACACTGCAAAACCTCTTGAGTTATCACACGCAGAGAAGGACAAAGTCGACTCCAGCTACACAAATGGACTGTTGCATTTCCACAATATAGAACATGGATAATTATTGTGGTCACAATGTGATTCATTTGAGGACCAAGAAATTTGATCACTTTTCAGTGTAACATCAGGTAACATCAACTTGATAACCACACATTTCACAAAATAACTATCTGCATTAATAACAAGAAGCCATGTTAAATATATATGAAATGCTGCATGTATCTGAAACTATATAGAATACAATGCATTAATAATCCTTCCATGTTTTATGTGTCAACACCTCATTTAATCATCTAAAGTAATTTTCTTCTCGTTCCAAAATGTCAATCAATTAAGAATGTACACGATTCAATGTTTACAGCCAGCAAATGAGGCCTCCAGTGTTCTCTATTTGCACAAAGCGTTCTGATCTGCATTTAAACTCACAATCCCTCGAGTCTCCCTAGAAAGAAAATTCCTGACAGGAGTCATATTTAATCTGTATAAATAAAAGATGAATCACACCGTTGTGTCTTTCATTGAAGTTGATAACTGAAGACAGAAGGATGCTGACAACAAAAGGCTGATCTGCTATGTACTTGTACACCAATCACCACACGGGCGCATTAGTAAATGAGCATTAATCTTAGTTTTGCATAACAGAAGTAAATCTATGGTGAAATGGTGAATTTGCTGGCAAACAACATGTCTGCTGTTATGTGTAATAAAAACCTTTTAAGAGTATGGACATTAACTAGGTTGATGATAAATAGCTTATATTTCTATAAATTATCCAGTGTTTCATGACATTTAAACCAGTTGCTGAATGTGATCCACTGACATAAATGAGCCTCTGTTGCTAGTTTTCTTCTGTCCATACAGAGAAGATGGAATGTGCATGACAGGAGCAAAAAAGTGTTAATGCAAACTTTGATTGACACTTCAGAGCTAAAGAAAACCCTTATATTCATAAAGCTACTCTTGAAATAAATATATATTACCATGTGCCATCTGACATACATTGATTTCACGCCTGATGATTTCATAAACATTTGTCTCACATTTGTACAGAAACACTCTGCACCTCCCTGAAGAACCTCGGCCAGTGTTTATTTAAGCAATGCATGTTCGGCCCTTTGCTCTTAGACTCCTAGAAAATAAACATCTGAACAGTTCTGGGTCCAATAAATATAAAATACAGGTCGATACCAACGGAAGAAGAGAATGAAGCTGTTGTTGGTGGACATGAAAGCAAACAGAACTCCAGAGAATCCCTTCTGCCGACCGATGAAAACAAAGACACTTCGTATATTCCTTCAGTGTGAGATCCTCCCGCTGTCCCCCTGGATATCGCTCTGTAGATAACAATTGTTTTCCGGATGTTCACTTCTCATACGCCTTGTTCTGCAGGTAACTGAAGAGTGACTCCAGTCCTTTGGTTGAACACCACAGCTGCTTCAGCATCTGACACTCCTTCTCATTCACTTCCTCCAGCACTGACATGATCATACTCCTCACCAGGCATTTGGATTCCTCCAAAACCTTTAAACACACACACACACACAGAGAAAGGTAAAGAGGGTCATTTGGTTACGTGTAATAATTAATGAAAAAATAAAAGGTTATGCCGACTGGGTCTAGCACAAGACCTACCACTGCATTGCAGGACGCCATTTCCTTCACACGCAGCATCACTTCTTGGTTAAATGTGGTCGGCCAGAAGACCTGTGACACCAGCCCTCGACTGCACGCTTCTTGTGCCGAGAGTTTTCTTCCACAGAACACCATCTCGTTGGCCTGGACAGGAGGGGGATTTCAATATGGCATGCAATCCAAATGTTGGACTCGGGTAAACTAGGACCAGGTAATCAGGTGGTTACAGGAATAGTCCAACTAGATAAAGTGGAGTGGACTCGCCAGTGCTGTGACCCACCAGTGCTACGCCCAGGATCTGGGGGAAGGTGTAGGAGGAGCATCCAGAGGGGGTGAGGTGGAGGGCTGCGCATGGAGTTTGGAACCAGGCTCTCTCACTGGCCCACACCACGTCACATAGGGGCAGGATGGAGGCCCCCAAACCCAGAGCAGGTCCGTTTATTGCCGCCACAATGGGTTTCCTGAAGTGGATGAATGCCAACACAAACTCCCTGCAGGGGCCACGCAACAATCAGTACCAACTCGGTCAGGTGCAAAGAGGGTCGGCGTTCGCAGCGGAGGGACTCCTTCTTACCGCAAGGCCTCCGCGATGCGGCTGCTCTCTTTTCTGCGGTCGGTGGACAGGCGGCCGATGAGGTACGAGGGCTCCAGGCCACTGCAGAAAACCGTCCCCACGGAGCTGAGCAACAACAACTTGCTGTCGTCGGCAGCTGCGTTGCCCAGGGCTCGACACACTTCCTTCATGATCTGAGAAAAAGGAAACAGGAGGAGATGCCCATTAAAATGTGAACTCTGCTTACACGTGAAGAGAAAAGGGATGACATGTAGATAGAAACGCTTATTACAAAATTATTGGGAAAACAATTTGGGGAAAGTATATGTTTATGGTTAATTTAAATACAATTTAATTTAAATACGAAGGCCACTGTGTTTCTAGCATGTTAATGTTTTTGCATACGAGATATTTACATGACGACTTGCTGGGCAGCTTGTTTCCTCGGCAACTAACTTGTAAAATGCAACAGGAGACAAGTTGGAAAAGTAACCACAAGGCAATATATGACTTCAGATCTCTTGATTGAAATATTTAGAAGAATTGCCAAGATAATCAATCGGCAGCAATTGCAGCATGATAACTCAACGACATAACAGTCTGTGTCGATGGAGATAATTCCGCAGTGCATCTTTCAGCATCAACAAACAGGTTTGGCCTCCATCTCGCGGGAGGGAAGAAGAGCCAGCGTACATTGACAGCCGTCCTGATAAAAAGGCTGAAAAGCACACAGCATCACATCGCTGCGTGCGGTCTGCAAACACTCTTGCTGCATTTTAATCAGATTAGCACCCTCGACCCATAATAACCATTCAACCTCAAAGTGAATTTAATTCCACATGTCTCAAAAAGCACATATCTGTCCGCAGTTTCAACCCGATGTGGTGTGTGTGTGTGTGTGTGTGTGTGAGACTGAGAGAGACATTATTCTAGCAAGGCTGGGATACAAGAAGCAGAGCTGGGCAGATGCTGGCTCCAGTCTGTCAAACCGAGAGGAAGAGGAGAGCACTCAAAGTGACATTCATGTGCAGTGAACAAACGCCTCAAACACACTCATAGACCAACAAAAGGTGCGGTCCACACCAAAGACACTTGCAACAGCAAGCATCTGCTGCAAAGGCACAACGTCACTACAATTAGGGGTGAGCATATCAATCAATGATTTTATTTTTGTTTTAATTTGTGTATTTTATGGTTTGACAGATTATTTTTCCCCCGGTTTCAGTTTTTTAGACCTTTCTAAATCAGATTGTTTATTTATTTGCATTTTCTGTCGGGCAGTTTTTGATTTCTCATGCAGAAATTGCTTGGCTTTCTTTGGCTTCTTATAGCCGTGATCCTCGTTCACTGATCAGTTTACTCTAGAGAGCAGTAGAGTACCATGGAAACGCTGGATAATAAAAATTGCAGACAGTAAATATGATTCACTACACAGTGAACGGGGAATGATTTAGGACACAGTCAATTAGTCCCAGAGAGACATAAGTGTTCCAATTTAATTTCCCTATAAAAAAACAGTCAACTACTTCTCTGTTTACTTATATACCAAAATCTAACAGCAGGTTATTTTACTAGTTGTGTTGCTTGGTAGAATTATCAGAAATTAATACAAAACAGGAGTGTGTGTTAAGTTAGAAAGGAGACACAAGGAGGACCAGTTCAGAGCTCAGTGAGTGTATGGATAAAAAAATGGATATTTCAGAAGATCTTCAGAAGCCGCTCAGCAGGAACATCGGCAGGCTGTCTTTTTCCTGTTGCTTCAAAGACTGAGCGACAGGGAGGGAGCTGTTTGATAAACCCACAGCTTACGGGGCTTACGCTCACACATGAAAGTACACACATGAGCACGCACAGACGCAGACTCCAGGGCCTGTGAAGTACAGCCTGCCGTGCGCACGTCGCCGCATCAAAGCGAGAAGCACCCTTCATGGAAGATCTAAGAGACATCATCGGTGTCATCATACAATCTGAGGGGAGAAGGATCCTGTTTACTTAGATTCACGATCCATCATCTGTGGAATTTTCTTGCTAACATGCCTAATTATCCAATCGGCAAAGTAAATTGTATATGTTGATCCGAATTGGACATGGCCTCTCCGCTCTGCAGGATCAACATTAGTCAGTGCAGAGGAAATGCGACTTGAAGGCCTATTGATCGTGACAAAAAGCATAAAACGTAAACCGCACCTAAAAAATTGAACAGAAGAACACAAAAATGTTGCAGTAGTTGTGGGGAAAAAAAGCCAGAGAGCGACCAGACTGGGGAAAGCTTCTACTGAGCTGTAAGAGAAAGACACTGAACACTTCTAGGGGAATATTTAATGAAGCAGCTTGTTGTTGATTGGAGTGTGCAAATGAGCAACCAATCACCGGCTGGTGGTTTCCTGCAGGCAGCCTCTGCGAGTGGATCATAACAACGCGCGAAGCTGCAGCAGCGGAGCAGAGAGCCATTCAACCACATTCCATGTTACAGACGTCCAGAGTGTCGTTAAGCTGTCGTTTCATCTCTCCATTAATCTCTTGATTGAGAATGGCTGGAAATAAAGCGGCACATTGTGACAGTGACAATTATAGTCCTACACATGGACACTACACTTACAAGAGGAAAGGTGTTGGATCCCATGTTGTGAATGACGGCACCTCATACGTCGCTGTCCATCACTGCCGCAGATTGCATCAAATCACGGCACACAACTCCAGAATGAAGAATGTACAGTTTGTTCTGCTGCCACAACAGTTTGGATTGATACGGAGTTGCCACGTGATTGACAGATCGCAGAGGGGACTGGGAGTAAACGTGTCAAAAGTCAAAGGAGCGGAGACTCCACCGTGTGGGTGCAACAAAGAGAGAGAGGCGAGTGAAACTGAAAGCGAAAATCTCAACAATGTGTAAGATTTAAAGTGTTCCGTTATTGGCCGAAAAGGCACGTAAACCCCAGAGTGTCACATGTTACACGCCATGACCACCACCAGGCTCTATAAACCGCCGCATACCTTCACCCTCTACTGCCCATACCACTCAGGGTGCTACAAGGGGAGAGAAAAAAAGAAATATATCATATGTAGCCCTGATTACTCTCCTCGATTTGAGGGAAATTCTGTGTTAGTATTAAACCTCATTACCGTCTTTTGTCGAGTACGCGCGACTCTTTTTCCAACAATGCCCTGCGTGGGATTCATGCCGCTCAACACATTCACACGTAGCAGCTGTCAAATAAAACCCTAGTTTATAAAGGTTCTCTCTCTGAACTGTTTCCCTGAAGCAGTAGTGGGGTTAGTGCCCCTTTCTCATTTGCTGGACATTTCCCCAAACAGAACTACATGGCATTGATGCACCGACGCATGCCGGACAAACACGGCACCGCGGCGACAAACGCGCATCCCGAGATCTCACCTCAGGCGTCAGAGCGTTGTTGTCCGTTGTTTGGCTGGAGAGCAGGACGTGCGTGAAGCCTTCCTCCTTCCGGACCACGATGTCTCGGAACCGACAGTTGCTCTCGTTTTGTCGCACGTTGTACCTGAGCCGCTTGTCGAACACGTAGCCTTTCTCTTCGGCCAACTTCCGCTTCACCGAGCTGTGCAGATGCATCTTGCCATTGGACAGAGGGGTGCCTGACACAGGGAGGTGCTATTTATTATATATATATATATATATATATATATATATATATATATATATAGAGCAGTTACCTATATCTGATTAATATCACAGTAGTTTCTCTTCATGCCAGCATAGCTGTCACTGTGGGATTCGTTGAATTGAGAATTTGTTGATTACATCGATACTTCACGCTTGGATACCACAAACCGAGGAACATTTATCATTTCATCCAAAAAGTGCTGCGATTCAGCTACGTTCAGAAACAGCCTGATGTGCAAGCCGAGTAATCTGGATGAAAGACTAAAGAGCCTCGAGTTAAGCCCTGTGTGTGTCCTTCATCTGAGCTGTAACGATGCAGTGGTGGGAATCAAAGATGCACAAATAAGCCACACATCACTAAGGAACACAATCCGTTTCTCCCACCAGAGCAACTGCAAAAAAGCTACAGTTTCCACAGTAAAGGGAGTTTGATATGTGCGAAAAAAGGGTGGAGACTTTAAACCACAAAGAAGCTCTCAATGGGAGCCTCCGTCGGTGTTTCTAACCATGAGTGATTTCAAGATGAATAATGCAGCGGATCTTTAGTCGGCCCTTCAAAAATCCGGACAACGGGACTCTGGAGTTGGCCACTGATTGAAACTAGAAAAGAAAACTAAATTAGAAAAAAAAGAAACATTTTTCTTGTGTATTAAAGTCTTGGTTGGTTCCTCAAAGAAACTGAATTATCTTGCGTTTAACCCTTAATTAAAATGTTATATATAATATAATATTATTATCAAAGAGAATCTCAGATGAAGAGTCTATTTCAATTAAATTCAACAAAGGAAGACCGTGAACAGACACCAGCCTGCATCCTTGGCCTTTTTCAGCGGAAGCAGTGATTTCAAATGGTTGTAGGACGAGAGGCTTTGGTCACTCTGATGCTTGACAAATTTACGGTACGATAAGGCGCCGCTTTTGGAAGCTGGTGCAGAATGCTCCCATCAGCTAACGACATTTGAAAAATCATTGAAAGCTCATAATTCAGTATGAATTAATATCTCACTTAGTTTATGGTTTTTCTGTGCTGGCAGGGGGTTAGCTAATTAGGACCCATAATGGCTGACCGGCCAATAGCTAAATTGAGCCTCATAATATGTTCACAGGGGGGATCCAGGTCTCACTGTGAAGTTGTGGTGCTTTGAAACATCCCACGGACCCTTTATATTCATAGCCTCACATTCTGTTGGAAACATTCAATAACATGGCAGCATAACCGAAAATTCAAGGGGTAGCATAATAACGCTCAGTGTACTGTTAAAGGAATGTTTTGTCCTCATGCCGTCAGCTGCCTTTAATCTTCTGTTTTGGGGTTTTATGCACAGTGAGAATGGACAAAATCCACGTTCATCTTAACAAAGAGATGAGTGTAGTGTAGTTGGGTATGAATAACAACCGATCTGATGTGGATTTTCTGTTAAACAAGCCGTGAATGACTTTTCTAAAAACGCATGTAATGATTAACTATGGTGGCGCAGGCCTGGTTATGGACTGTGACCCAGGAGTGAAATTTAAAAAGGTGTTATCAGCTGCTCCTGGTAAAGAACCGTGGAGGGAGGTTTTAAGAGCGTGTCAGCACATGTCTCTATAAAGGTCTGCCTGCTAAAAAGAAATAGAAAATGTCTATGTATTTTACTACCATATGAGGAAGTTTTTATTTACTATATCATTCATATCCATGTAGAAAACTCCACTGGTCACTATATTTTTCCATTAGGAAGGAGCCAGTATATCGGCCGTAGCTAATTTTACCCTAGATATCACCAGATGGGCCAATAAATGCATAGCAGCCACCAAGAAACAGCGCATTGCAGTGCAGACCGGTCAGACGTGATTTTGAGTTCAGAAGCTCTCGGCACCGTTACACAGATTAAGCTCAGTTTCACGTAACTATAACAATCGCTGTGATAAGGCAGTAGAGATGTTATTATTGTAAAATGAACCCGCTCATATCTTCAATGCACAGTAATGATTGGTTTTCATGTTCTAAAGCGATACCTAACCAGGTTATTTACGTCATTGTAGCGGAGTTGAACACTCCGTTCATGTCATTTCCCAATATTTTAACTCCAATCTCTGATGACTAAAAACTACCTCGTTTAGTCGTCTCTGTCACTAACAGATCATGCTGCCGCAGCTTTACGTGTCTGACTGTGCTACTGTTATATTTCAATTCAGCATTTACCGCAATCCTGTACTATTAATGTCACTTTTGTGTACTGTACTAGTACGTAAGAGTCCTTTAAATTTGTGATGGTTGTGGAAGATGGTGTTTGTTAAATGCTGCTAAAGTACAAATATGGAATAAATAATAAACAAAATGATTACCCTTATCTAAGCATTTGGTGCAAACTACTTGAATGCTGAGTAAAGTATTTTTTTTCCAGAGCTTTATTAGTAGTTTTTTGCATTATTACAAGTTTAAAATGAGGTTGTTTACCTATTTCTAATTCTATTCAGTTTTCTTTGTAAACTTACCCAGCTGAGCAGTGAACTGTCCAGCGGCGTCCACGCTTCCCGGTTCTCTGTCCACTCGGTCGGATGTCAGTCTGTGGGACCTTGCTGCTGTCCTGTACATGAGAGGATCCGTCTCTCCATTCTGCAGGCCGTTGTGAGGAACCCTCGCAGGGGGAACAAAGTGGGGCCCTCCCGGTGGAGCCACAGCCTTATACGTCATGACTTTGCTAATTCCGTCCCCTAGAGCGTGTTTCCCGGGTCCAACACCCACTTTTCTCTGCTTCTGGGTGGGTGCCGTCCCCCCGCTTCCAATCCCCAGAACGGCTCCAACTCTAACCCCGACAGCCGGGCCACACGTCCTTTTCTTCTTACGGGCCTCAGCCCGAGCTTTGGAGTTTTCTGTAGCAGATGGCTGGCTGCTGATGAGGAGCTGTGGACGATTTTTCGGAACCTTGTGCCGTCTGTGCGAGTGCAGCCTCGAGCTGTTGAACTGGTCGATGAATTCCTCGCAGTGCAGCAGGTGGTGCTCGGGCTCCCATGTGTCTTCCTTGCTTCCGTAACCTTTCCACCGTATCAGGTACTCCCACTTCCCCTTCTTGTCCCGCCTCTTGTCCACAATCCGCTCCACCTGAACGCAGGACAATGTTAAAAAAAAAAAAAAAAAGAAAAGGGAGAATTTTTACTACATCCTATAACTAAGGTTCTCACTGTCTAAATACTGCAGATAAAGACCCATGAACTGGATGTACTGATTAACCTGACCGGCACACGCTAAAGCTTATGAAAATAAATAAATGTCATTAATATAGTGTAAAAAAATGAAACAGCTCAAAAAAATGTTAACAGCGCTCTGTGGGAGTGTGCGGCCCTTGTGGGCCTCCCCAAAAGGTACATTCTGTGACAAATGTCAAGCATAAGATAAAAGCGAATTCCCTGCGGAAGATTGATAAGACACCAAAGCTGAGCTGCAGACTGATATCATGAAGAAACTGTGAGAGTTTGTGTGAGAAACAACAGCTCCGTGAAGTGAACACAAAGTGGAAAAGCCTGTTTATTCTACAATAACAAAGTCAGCAGAGACCACAACCCAGCAAATGTTACTATCTCACACAGTCACCTCAAGCGATGGGACCACATAAAGGACTTGAACGAGCTGTCTTTCTGTCTGTCTCGCTATCATGAGAGAGACAGCGTGTCGATGGTTTCCCTGCGGTGACTTTCTACAGCAAATAAACAGAACTTACATTTTCCACACAACACTGCACTAAGGTGCTGCCTTGTCGAGCAAACGCTTCTGTCGGCTTGCTGTGGTGTCTCTGCTTTGCCTGCGTGTGTGCGTCTGTGTGTGTGTCGCGACCAGACACACCTGCATCCACGGCCCAGACAGAGAGCAGGGGAGAGACGGACACAGCGACGTGACCGGGTCGCTCTGCTCCGATTAAGTCCTCACCTGCTCGCTGCTATCGGCCGGGGGGGCTTCACACCCGCTGGCCAAACAACAGCTGATACCCAGAAAGCAACGCGGCACAACGAGAAGGAACGGACCGGGTCTCTGCAGATACAGACAGACACTTGTGGTGGTCCTAAGTGACGGTTGAGAGGGATTACTTTTGTATGAAAGGGTTATTTTGTATGAAAGATCACAATAGCAATTGCCTTTATTCACACATTGGGATGCAATTGTTAATTGCATGTATTTGGCCAGGACAACCGTCAGTACATGTCGTCAAATGTCTACATAATCATTTGCAGTGAGTGAACAAATTGTGCGTAAAGAGGGACAGTAGGCGGAAACTACGGAAATCCTTGTGAAAATGTACAGCGTGAAATGAGAATATTAAGGAAATTAACCTAAGTTCAGTGAACAATAATTACTATGATAAGAGTGTCATCATAAGGCTAAAGACTTAGATTACATTTTAAATTGTTCACTTCCAAGGTCAGGACTTTAGATTTCTAGATGTGAAGTGTAAACGTCTCTCTTTTATAATTTAGGTTTTAGCAGACAACACAGAGGGATTTAATGTCAGTGAATCACGTTCATTTGACAGGTTGCCAGTCAACCGTCATTAATATGTTAACACACCCATTATCAAAATCAGCAACACATTCTTGCACATTTCAGACACATTGTACACATATTTTGGTCAGATATCTACACATATATGGTTTCCTTGCATTCCGTCACACGGTGGCCCTTTCATGCTGACAAACATGTAACTTGCATTTTAACAATCACACACGAGAACATATCAGACGCAACGTGTGGCTGAACACTGAATACAACTATTTGGTCTTTAAGACTGTTAAGTTTAAGTGTATGTTAAACAATACTCATAAGTATATGTGAGGGACGTGTAAACATTCGTGGCCACGAGCCTGACGAATGGGAAGATTTCATCAGCGACTTAAGTGCAGCTGTGGTAATAACTGCTCATCATGTTCTCAGATGTGCTGAGCACATTAGCAGCAGTAAACAGCCTCTGATGGGTGAGCCGCGGGGCCGTCACACAAAGGAACAGACGATTGGGTGGCTTACACTCCCAGACGCTGTCGCGCGTAACGGCGTTGCAGAGACAGACGGGTGAAAAGTCAGAAGGGGAAATAAGGAAGGAAGGAAGGAAAAAGCTCAGCGTGGACTTGATTCACCTGATTCTTCAAACAGCCACGATGACATGAGGCCCAAAACTAAAAAGCTCTTTCTACATTAAGCCATCCAATATACAAAACGGCATTATTATGTTTTAACCAACCATGGGATTCCTGGTCATTTTGCCTACAGTGAAAAGCCAAAACAACCATGGTCTTCTTTTCAAACGAGGCTCACAGCCAACATAATATGGTACGTGGGACGGAGCGCACAACTCTAACTGAAGGAAAAAAGGGAACCGACTTCAAAAATGATGAAATAGTCATTTTCTGGTTCGGGCTGACAAAACAAGCATTAAATACAGGTTATTAAATACAGGTTATAACAGCTGTGCTTAAACGACTGTATTGAAGTCCACTCCTGTGAAATTACAATATCCGAGCCATGCGAACAACCTACAGAAGGACCGAAACCTACGACAGCCTGCAGCCAAACGCAATGACCATCACGTGTAACAAAGAGGATGAGGATGTCCATGCAGTAACATATACTTTTGTTAAGTTTACTTTTTGTAAATGGCTGGGTTCAAACTTGTTTGTGGTTATGCGACACCCCCTCCGTGTTTTCTTTCCACAGCGGGCAGGATGAAAGCTCTGACTGGACTCTACCTGTCCATCGCCAAATCACCGCTACAGTGAGAGTCAGCTGTTTCCCTTAAGACTCACAAGTATTGAACTTCAATGGCCACACACGCCAAAATGAAAGCTAATGTCGCCTCTTTGCAGAATGAGTTAACGGGCAACTGTTTACAACAAGAACTTCATAACTATAATATATTGATGTTATGTTTACAGCTTGTTGAGTTGTACCTCAAAACACAGTTGCTTTCTCTTCTCTCTGGTGTTCATACTGGATCGGGTCCATCTCTAATAAGATCAAAGCTGATCTCATTGGCAGCAAGGCCAAAGATCACCACCATTTTAATTAAAAAGAAATCTTTTGGAGACAGAAACAAACATTTGCATAGTGATCAAAGAAACGTTGCTATGAATCAGTGTGTACAATTATAGGCCGGTGCAAACAGAAGGCTGCTTCTTATCCCGTTAGTGAAAAAACGGGCGCTCCAGTCGACACAATTGTAATTCGCAAGGTCACCAGAGGGCCATCCTGCAGGCGAAGCCCATACGGTCCCAACCCGCAGAAGCATTCAACAAGTGTCAAAGCAGTCGGGGGGGTTTTACCACTCTCTCTGGAGCAGTGAGGGTAAGTAGAACCACGGCTGCCATTAGTGCTGTCCATGGTGCTATTAACTGTTCTACTGGTGGCAGCTCTTCTATCCCACTGTCCGCTGCCTAACGGATATTGGCCGAGCGTCCACAACCTGCACCGAATTCAGGCTTTCGAAAGGGTTTCGTTCCATGTCGTCCTCAGTTTAGAAACATAATCTTCTGCCGATGGACTGCAAGGTGGGAAACTAATCGGAGATATGCCCTCTCAGACTAACTGGGTCCAACATCGGGGGCTATAAAGGTTCTCTAGTAATAAGTAAGAGTAATTGTGGGGAACTCCACCACGATCTCTACAATACGTGAATGGGGATCCCCATCAGAGGCCGATCCACGCTAAAGAGAGAGCGTTTACTGGCACAGGCTTATCTCTCACTTCACTTTTTTTTGAAAACCAATCCATTTTGTGTCACTGAATATATGGAAGTGTTTGCTGGCAGCGAAAACACATTTATCTACAGTCTATGGGCAAAACAAGTTTGTCTCCAACTATTGATGAGTCATGATTAGCATGGTGACATTCAAACACAACGTAGCATTAATGTGTCACATTTTGACAGCACCCTCTATTTCTATGAATTTGTTTTTTTGTTCCAAAAAAAGAAAAACGACAAAAAAGCTATTTCTGAATGTTAAATAAATAAAAATGAATCCATTAATTTGGAAAGCTCACCGGTGCTCTGAGGCCCGGCGGTGGGGTGAACTCTGAGGTTGTGTGTCTGACCTGCCACGCCTCTGCTGCTGGAGCAGGGGTCGGGCATTTAGGGCATTTAGCGCATTTAGGCACATCTGCATGGCTTGCCCTGGCAAGGGAGTCATGACGATGGTCACACTTCAGACCAGGCCCGCCTGGAGAGCGTTCTCCGACCCACTGAGCCACTAAACTGCTTCAAACCCTAGTGGCCCGCTGGTGTTGCTCCTCCTCTGACAGGAGGCACTGCAGGGATCACCAGTGTGCTGCTTCAGATGACACACGTGGGGGCTTTCCTAACAGGCAGCTAAAGTGCCAAGCCCTGAACGCCTAAGTTGATGCATCTAAGTGTTATTAAAGTGCAAAAATCATTGTGCATGCTGCTAACAGCCAACGTCAACTAGTTCTCGTCCTGCCGATTCAAAATGTAGTATTGTAAAAAGGAAAAGAAAAGGGTGCTTGTGTCATCCGTAACACTAACTGTTTAACTTTCTTTCTTCCGAACATTAGTTTGTTATAAAATGTCCTACATTAGACTTATTATTTTGGCCACTACAACCCTCCCTGTGGCTATTGCAAATCCCGTATGCACCATTTTAGTATCTTTTTCAACTGATGTTCGCATATCTTCTCCTATTACTACTGCATGACCCCTAAATAATATTCCATGTAATGAGGAGAGAGGAGCACCACGCTAACTGTGACTCCAACCTGGTGCATCTGTTCAACACATAGAGCGTGTTTTATTATTAGACGTCGTAGTAACTTTTTTCCCCCACTGCATTGAAGCATATGTGGAATGAATATTCTTGTTGGTTGTACTTGTGGTGTGCGGGTCTTACTGCGTTTCAGCATGACGGAGTGTGGACAGACATGTAAGCACACCCGATGTGGTGTCAGGGTGCACACTACACACCCGTCTCGACATCCCCAGCAGGCCGCTGTATGTTCCTCTCACCGGGCTTTGAGGTGGAGATGCTGAAACAGCCTTTGGCAGCTGTGGGAGGACATGCCCACCTCCATTCTTCCAGCTCATGCTGAAACGGAAAGTGTTACTAAACCGCTTTTGTCGGTGCAACTTGTGCCTTCTGCCTTTTATCTGCCTCCGACTTGCACCAGAGGAAGCAGAGTAGTGGTCCACTATCCTCTACCACCTATTTCTACATGTGTAAACTGAACAAATACATTTTTGACAATTCCTTGTCATTTGACCCCCATAATAAACAGCTGTTCAGATCTCGTTGATTCAACTTAAGAGATATTAGTAACTAAGATCTGTATTACCTGAACAAGAGATGATTCCACGTGCTTTTATCTCATCTGGCGTTGATTTTTGTCACACGCTTTTCTCCTCACTCAGTAAGTCTCCAATTTACCAGTTGATGGGTTGTAAAATGTGAAAACCATGGGTTCAAAATGCCACGCAAGTGGCTTTGGATAAAAGCGTCAGCTAAATGACATGTAATGCAACGTTTGCAGGTGATCCAGAATGCTGCAGTCAGCTTTCTCCATGACAAATAGTTGGTCTCACATCACCCCCACACTCAGATCTCCTCACCAGCTCCCTGCAGCGTTTAGGATCCATTTTAAAATTCTCACTCGGTCAGACTCCTGCATTTGTGCCTGAAATACTTGGCCCTTATTTACCAGCTCGCTCTCTCGGGACAAACTTGTTACATTTTCGGTCCGTCCCACGCACTCGCCTTTTAAGACCCGTGGTGACCGAGCTTTTGAGGGAGTTGCACCAAAGCTGTGGAATGCTCTGCCTGCCCCCCCGAATGTTTGCTGATGATGTGACTGGTTGAAAATGAGCTCCAGATACACGTGTTTGGACTGGAGTAGAATTCATGCTCCAAACCTGCTTTTAATCTGCATTTTTTTAAATACTATTGTGGCTTTTGAAACCGATTTCATGTTTTAAAAAACGTTCTAGTAAATGATTGGCCTTTGTATGGTCACATGGTGTAATTTATGTTTTCTTCTTTGAATAATTGCTCCTGTTAATCACTTTGTGACTTATGTCTGTGAAAAGTACATTTAAATTAGTAACTTTACGTACACCAAACCCAAACCGATCAATGACAGTTCCTGTTAGAGGTAAAACGAGGCAGAAATTGAGACCAAAAGCCACTTCGACTGTCCCTTCCACCCTAAAACGTGCCTTTCCTTAAAAAACCTGGCATCGATTTATTTATGTGCTCTGTTATTGTGGTTCTTACTTTTACTGTTTTTACATGTAAATCTTATACTTTACATCTTCTGATCATCTGAATCTTGCTCGTTTAAAGGCTGTTTGTTGTAAATATTGAGATTATAGCGAGATCAAAGTGATCTTTAATCATACAGTGGGGACTGTTAACACATCTGAAAAATGAACATAACAGCACAGAATTGATTAAGATTAAATAGAAGCAAATAAGACATTTACGCAGAGGCATCCTATATTCAGTAGATTATAATTATGGTACAAAGTACTTATTATTGTATCTCAAGGCTTATTGTTCCATGCAGTTTCTGTGGTACATTTAAAAGCTTCTTTTACTAATTTTGTTCCGGTTTTGGGAACAACAAAACACAAACAGTCCTGATAGTTTGGAAGAATAGGGGGAACCTCAAATTAGGCTACATTTATTAAAAAAGTAACTAGGCTTTGTACCAATCCATGTTTAAGTATTGAATGCACTTTATAAACAAAAGCATCTCTGAACAGCAGCTGATCCCAGCAGCTGTTGTCTTCGTAACTACATTGTGGAATCAACAATGACATTGTTGTGTTTATTCACTGTGCTTCAGCTGCAACCAATGCATTTTACAAAGTCAGCACAAAAACGTACCTTCAGCCGCAACTACTTTCACACATCAGCCTACATATCGGTTTATTGTCATGATGCCACAAGTTACTACTCCTTCTTTTCAATTAAGACTGAGATCAATCGCGTATTTTTCCAGTGAGGCACGAAAAAGATCCAAATTTAGGGACGCTCAGAACTGGAGTGCTTACAGGCTGCATACTGAAATAGGAGAAAATAGATCCGGAGAATTACTTAGATTTATGCAACATGGTTTCAGCCCCTTTCCCTCAGTCCTGGAGATGAATGCTTACTCATCCCAAAGCAAATCAGCCCATGCTCCACCTCATAAAACATCTTCTTTCTAAATTCCTCTTTTCAATCTCCTGTGGCTCCATCAAATGAACCACTTCTACATAAAATCATTAGCTAGGTTATCGTTGTTGGCACTCCATACGCATAGACTTGAAAATAATTACTTATAAAACCCAATAAGACACACTGTTTTCTATATTTACATTTTTTCTTTTGATTAAAAGCCAACTCAGGTCAGCTGATCCATCTTGATCATCCAAAACAGAGCGATCGCTGGTGGGGCTGTTTATATGTCAGTGGGGAAACAATTCAAAGACTCAACAGACTGTGGATGTGCGATCCCCGCCAACACATTGTTGACAACAAAAACAAAGGCTGCATAGAAAATGAGTCAGTGATTAGTAAGGTATTGCTACACATCGAGCCATTTTATTCTAAAGAATAAACAGCCAATTCAAACTAGTATTACTCATTTAAATGCAAAAGTACTTTGTTCATTGACCCAGCTCCACGGCACAGATCTCAGAGGCTGACGTTAGCGTAACGTTCAGCTGCTGGTAATAACTCAGTGATGCGACTTGTGCAAAGCATTAAACAAGCAGGCCAGTTACTTTGTATGAATAAATGAATATTCAGCCAAATCCAAAGAAGCCCAAGTAAAAAGCTCAAAACATCCAGTTGAGTTGCTTTTTGTAACCTACTGTGAAAGAAAACATAACTGTCAATCGCTTTCTTTAGTCCATCCTCTGGACACTATCATGTCTCAAATGTGTCACGTAACTTCCTTTGAAACATGGAAAACTTGGTTTTGTCCAATCACACATTTGTTTGACCTTCACCGTGGACATCGACCCACCATCACCCGTCATCTGTCGCCCCCATGACATCATGACACCATGACACCATGTCATCATGACACCATGACACCATGACATCACGTCAGCATGACACACAGGCTGTTGACAATCGGATGTACTTTCCTGCCGCCCATTTGGGCAACTTTTACGCCCACCTCCCCTACAACAAAAAACAAAAAAGCTGTCGAGGGTTTCAATTTCCCAGGCATCCAAACGTTAACGGGGGGCAGGGGGGGGGGGGGTCGCGGTGACCGTCTTTTTGGGCACATAATGCGCACCTTGAGAGGCATCACTCCGCCCTGGACATCTCCACCACGTCGCTGTCACTTTACCACCACTTTCAACTCGGCGACGGAGCGCGGAGTTCACCCCCCCCGCGGGGGGTCGGCACGTTATCTCTTCTCTCGACTTCCAACAATCGCCACAAAGTGCATCGGAAGCGACGCAAAGTGCGAGCACACGTCAGCGACGCTGAAGAGCACGAGAGCGGTTAGTTTCGCCCGTTAAAGGGCTCCAGCGCGCCGCTTTCTCTCTCTCGTTCTTTAACGTACGCGACGCCCTCCGCTTCACTTCCTAATTCCACTATCGGTCTGTACCGCGGAGCCGTTCCGCCGGACGCGGGTTATCCTACCTCGTAAAGGTCTCCTGAAGCCATTCTTTGGGTGCGGACTCCGGCGGCGCGGCGCTCTTGCCTGCCGCGTCGGCTTCCTTCTCGCTCTCTGTGGGTTTTTTTTTTTTTTTGTTGGCCCCAAACACTCTGTCGGTGTTCCGGTGAAAGCCCCGGTAGACGGGAATTAGCGAGCAGCCGTGTTATTCCGAGCAATCCGCAGTTAGCAGATCAGCAGACAGCGTCAATCGAGCCCGGCGCTGTGCGACGGATCGCTCCACACTTAGAACAAACAACCGTCGGGGCGGTGCTGTTTACCCGGAGAGAGAGAGAGAGAGAGAGAGCGCGAGAGAGAGAGGGGGGAGAGAGAGGGAGGGAGAGAGAGAGACAGCTAAGTGGAGGACACTAAATTAGTCCCCGGCTAAGAATGCATCGGCCGGATGGTCTTGCACGCGCCCTCCGCTGCGATCCAACCACCCCAACGGGGGACGACACGCCGGATGGAGGAGGCTCCCCGCTGAGGCCGCTTCTGTTCGGATCTCGCTACCTGTGCACTTCGCGGTACCACGGATGACCGGGTCGAAGCTTTTATTCAGGAAACACCTGGAGCACTTTGAGCTGGAGCTGTTCGCAGCGAATGGTTACTTACAGGAAGCTGCACAACTATCGTGCGTGTTGACGCTCGTGAGGCGCACGCACGGGCCGATCGACTTCCATCGAACGGAGTGTCCCCCACAGAAATGGCCATTACCGTGGCAATATTTGTCCAACTAAATGGATTGATAATTAAAATAGACCATGTGTTATTTAACGTTCACCCTGTTGCACCGATACAAATGGCCCCATCCAGAAAGGACACGGGGCTTGTCATCCAGTAAACACTGTCAGGGTTGAACTCCACAGCTGAAGATTGGTGTGGTAAAGCATCAAATGATTTAGCATGTTCTCATTAATGATCGGTTCGGCTATTTGTGACTTTAAAGTGATGTGGTGCAACGGAAATGTCCACAAGTTCCTCAGGAGTGAACAAAAAATAAACTGATACTTAATGTAAATCATTATGAGCCAACTGACTCTTACACCGTTTCTAATAAAATTGAATTTTTAAAAGATGAACTGATTGTGTGGAAAGCAAGCAATGTGTATCGCTGTGTCATTGACTTTCTTTCTTTCATTCATTCTTTCTCTTTAAATTTTAAATGTTGACCACACATTCCTCTGCATGATTGAACACGCAATCAAAAAACACTGAAAGAAGAAGAAAAATCACCCTTCTAGAACTTTACGCAGCACCGTGAGGTATTCTGATGTTCAGTTCTGTGTCTGCGTCAGTTAAAACAAATACTGATACTCTGGGACTCAGTGCAGATGATGTGTAGTTTTGTGCAAGTTGCAAGTTTTTAGACTACATCGACATTACCAACATGAAGTGACTGGTCTTGGCTGAGCTGAGAAATAAACTGCCTACTCCATCTGAATGTCACGATGGAGCTCAGAGTGTATTATCAAGAGCTCCCGCCTGCTTTCCCGACGATTTCTCATCATTACCTGGTATTCCATAATATCCTCAGTACACCTGAGTCTATGTATCTTACAAGTAGCTGAGAACACTATTTGGCTTTGAGGTAAAGGTTGGGCGTTTAGTTGAAATGGTACATCAGATCAAATATATGTGCGTCTCTGTGGATGAACACTGTGCATTCAGGACATCTGTTACGCCAACCTTCTGCAACCAAAAGCTCTTGTAGACTTTCCCTTGTGTTCTAACCGGCCGAGAAGAGAATTGTTATTAAAACGTAGGACTTTCCTCAATGCGGTGGCGAAATGGCATTTTGTCCTGTTTGAGTTCTGACTGTAGATCTGTGGGAAGAATGAGGAAATGGCAAAACAGGAAGTGTTGTCTGGATAGTTAGCTGTTGGTCAGGTGACAGATGGTTAAAGACTTTATCCCTCCGGGGTAAATTCGTTATTTATAATAAAATAGCAGTTGGATTGAAGTTTTCCACATAATGCTGCATTTTGTCATACATGTATTTATAGGTGACAAATGTATCTGCTCTTGGCAGTATTCCACCTTTTTCAAATGATGCGGGTACCCGACTGTACATCATTAATCCCTTCTTATGCTATATTGACAAATTCACTATTTCTGATTGATTCAGTTGCTGTTTTCTGTTGTAACAGGTGGGATTGGGACTTGTCCGTTCATCTTGAATAACAAGTCCCAATCCCACAAATATCAAACCAGGCCATATTTTAGTTTTCCGGCTTAGAAATCATCAATTAATGATGATTAATAAACTTTATGTTTTTAGCCATTGTGTAATGCCGATTCATGCTCATTTTACAAGCATGGGTTCAGTTCTTGTGTAAAAAAAAGAAGCAGTGTGTATTTCTGAAAATAACATCTTCATGAATAAATGATCATGTGAAATGCAATTCATTATTTACAATGTCTTTACATTTTATTGTATGTTGAGTTTTCTGGAGATTCTAACAAATGAAGTCAAATGTTACGTTACACTTTATGCAAATCAAACAAGAGAACGCTTGTTTGATAATTATTGTTTTCAGGTGAGTTAAAGTTACACAACATTAAGTTATCGTAATTAAAAGGTACCCTGTATTTAACAAGACTTTCATCATTATTATCACTAAACAGGTTTTACAGCTAGTTTTAATGTTATGAAGTTTTTCACGCACCAATCACCTTGTGTAAAATACTTTGCAATAAATTATTTCAAATCCGGAAACATCCTGCTAATTTAGCTCACTTTTTTATTCATGGCATCTTAAAAATGAATGAGAATAACTCCGTCCAGTTGGACTACCAACACTCCTTCAAGTAGTGCACACTTGCAGCTCTGAGCAGCTGGCTGTTCCTGTACTGCTTCACACTGCTGCGGCTGCTTGTTCTCCTCTTCAAAATGTCTTGCCACCTGAGCTGGCAGGAGGACATCTGGACTCCTGTGGTTTACCTCCCACGTTGCTAACCGTCCTCTCCACGTGGTGCAACAATACTGTGTGTTTCTTGTGCACACTTAAAACTCTTTCCTGGGTGTGTCCGCTCAGATGTTTGAATGTAATGTTGATTCTGTCATCGCCAACCTAGAATCATGTCGGGCCAACGGCAGTGAGAACATTACACAGCACATCTCCACCTAGAAACATAAACCGAACCAGTTGATTCCCTTGAATGCCAACTAGCATTTAGCTTTTGCGCCTCAGTATCTACAACAACTGCTGTATAGTTTTCTTCAAGAATATATCTGACAATGTGGTTGGACTATGCTGGTTTAGGTTCATACTCAAGAGTGATAGCTTAAACATATTACACATCTTTCTACACCAACGTTGAAGTGAAGCCAATTAGACCTTGCCAGCCACACCTTAAAAATAGTGGGGCACCGAGGTACATTTATCAAAAGCCCATATAGATTCTGTAAAGTCTTATAGGTATGTGCCACTGCACTTTAGCTGTAAACTAAAGAATGTAGCTGTACATTCATGAAACACGGTTCATGGTTGAAAAAACATCCACAGTTTTGAATAAGTTCCAATCTTGCAAGGCCAATTCTAAGAGTTGACAGTTGTGAACTAATCTACGTCACGAAATAAAAGAATGTTCACACCCTCTAATTAGACATCCCTCCCTCCCTCTCCTTCCATAACCTTTGTGTAGAATTACAATCACAGCACAACAAATTGATTTAGGAATCGAGCACATTACAAAACATCAATTAAGTTGAGCTGTAGGTCTTTGGACTGTGGAACCCGTACTGCCCCTGGGAGAACATGCAGAGGGCCCTTCAATCTCGGGAAAAAACCCCAACCCTTCACGCCGGGAGGCGATGGTGCTGGTTCCTGTATTTCACGTATGTTAGTTTTGCTAATCTGACATCACGGCGCAGTTAAAAAACAGTAAGGAGTCAGTACCTCTGCCCGTCTGAAGGGGGCGTGCGTGAGCACGCGGGCTCGTTCTGCTGTTGTTTTTCTTCACGTATTACAGACTCATAGCATAGTTAGCATGTGCTAGCTAAAACAGTCAAGTAGCGAACGTCAAGTGCAGTCCTTGAAAACTGAAAACATACAGTCTGAATCGGGCCAAAGACGAGCTGTAATGTCTATTGAGACAAAAATAATGAAGAAACTAAAAGAAGATAAAGAGGACTTTCCACCAAAGTCATCGAGATGTTTGTCCAGAAGGAGAGGCGAATGAACTTAACGTAACTTACAAGAAAAGGTAAGAGCATGTGTCCCGTACTGTTTCTATGCATCGGACAAACCGCATTGGGAACGTTTGTTAGCCTAGCACCAGAAGTTGGTTGATGATTAGCCAGGAGATCGACTTTAATTTTTGCGTCTCATTCATTCACTTCGCACATGACGTCCACCTGAATGTTCCTCATTGGCTAAAATGTTCCCTAAATCGGTTGCGAAAGCTCGCATTTCCCCAAACTGCTCATTTGCGCCGTTTCCGGGCTGTTTTTAGGCGATCGCCACCGAGCTAGAAGCTGAAATGAGGTCACGCTAAATCAACCAATAAGCACGTTTGATTTCATCTGCCCCGTATCAATAAATAATACACGATACGAGATATGAAACATGGCCAGTAGTCAAAGTGCAGGCAGCCAGTTGAATGGTGAATTTACGCTACTGTGTTAAACTCATTTATTTGTGAATGTGACTTTGAAAGAGTCAGTGCCTCCCAGCCGGACCTCACCGCACGTCACGGCAGCCATTGTGTTGTGAATGAAGAAACGTAGACGGATAATTGCGTCGAGTTACGGAAGCAGTAAAGTTCGCTGAGCTGGGAACTGCGGTCGTGACCGGCCAGCCGGCAGCGGCACGTGCCCAACGTCAGCGGACATTTCCTAGTTGGTGGAAGACGGAACTGAACGATCTCGAAGGAAGAACCACCTGAAAGGTAAGGCCGCTGCCTCGTGAGAGTCAATGGCGGATTGGGCTCACTGCTTGGCTTCTGCTGAGAGATGCTGTGTGTGAGGAAACGCCGCTGTGACGCGGGTTTGTTGGAGCCACATGTGCACGACTGAGTGACGTTGCGTTGGTCGGGAGGCGCAACAGGTGTTTTAATTGCTGCGTCTCATTTCACCAACCTCGATTCATGCGTTGCGTTGCCTCTGGATTTGTGTTGTTTTCCGGCATACATTTCCCGTGTATACATGGTTTTTAAATTATCCGTGTGTGTGTGTGTGTGTGTGTGTGTGTGTGTGTGTGTGTGTGTGTGTGTGTGTGTGCGCAAGCAGTTTTCGCAAGTTAACAAATGCTGCAGAATTGAATGATGCATAATTCTGTGTCTTTGAGCTCAAAAGTTGTGTGTTGTCTGAAAAGGCAATCGTTAGTTTATCGTTTTATAAACCTTAATTAAATTGTGAGTGCTGACAAACCCGTGCATTTGGAAGTGTGTGCTTTTGAGTGTGACCTTTTCCTGAGTTCTGTGTGTTTAGTCATTGAGATCTTCAATTGACTGTATGATTTGGTGTAATTGCTGCTGTACGTTTTTATAGATATGTTAACATTTTGCTATTTTCTCTGCTCCTTCTCTTGCTAGACAATTTATTTGTGATACCACCATCACCATTAAAACTTTAATCGCCCCTTAAACCAGACAAAGGCACTCATTTGTATGTGCGATAGTTTGTGGTTAGAAATATCTAAATACCTTCAAAGAAATACATGAGTTTTTATTTATTTATTTACGCGTGTAACCAACCCAATACACTCATCTCTGTTGATGATGCAGAACAAATTGCCTCATCAACACAAATGTCCTTGCCAGGAAAGAATAGCGCCTTTTATAACATCTGATGTTGAATAAAATTGTTTGGTAAACTCCATCAATGCAAAATATCACCTGAAATTCTTACAGAAATGGTTGTAGTCAAAGTAGGGAAAACATTTTTATTTTCCCAATGACACGTGCACCCAAACCTTAAAGGCACAAAGAACGTCTGCACAATGCTCAAAGTCTCTTTTTTTTTAAGGCAACATTTCGTAGCACCTAAAGCAGCGATGCTAGATGAATCCCATCCCAAGTTGTGGTTGCACGTCACAACACAGTTTGCCCTGGACAGTGCCCTAAGTTTACCAGTAAGTGATCACGTTATTGCTCAACATCTAATATATACTTGTCAAAACATATTTCCTCTGCTGTACTCCACGATTTTCCGTCTGACTCTTACACTCAACCATTCATAAATAATTAGGGTAAGAGTAGAGGCCAGTTACACCGTCGTCAGGTGGAAACACACTCAATATTTAATGTTTAGAATTTTTAATTACTTTTAAGATGAACAATATAAGAATAATCTCAAAATACTATAACTTGTATTATTGTGTGCTGAGAGTTTGGAAAATGCTCAGAAATCTGACCCCATATAAGCTTTCAACATCCAGGGCTTGATAAACAAATGAATGTATCATTGACAGGAAACTGTGCCACATGCACATATAAAGGTGATCTGCAGGGCAAATCAGCCCAATGTCATCCACTGAGGGGAGAGAGGGGGGGCACTTTATTGTTGCCCCGAAGTGTCCCCCATTATTGGTACTAAGTAGGTACCTAGTTGAAAACCACTGCAACCAACTATTTACATTCTTTTCCATGAGATGAACAATGGAATATCTTTTTCACAAAGAGTAGGAATAAGCCTGTTATTGGTTTAAAAAAATAATTTAGCTTTTTTTACTCACTAGATGGCAACATTGTCTTACTGTAGAGTGAAGCCATTGGGTTCTACTCGTGTCACATTACAAAGAAAGTCTGGCTACACTTAAAATGTAAAATCCTCTTGTTCCTTTTTAGTGGGGAAGAAGAAATATATTTGCACTCTTCACTTGCATACAATGTTACTCTGTCTGTCCCTTTTTGAGATGGTTCTCTGTGCCTTCAGGCAGGTCGAAGGTCAGGAAGCAACACTGGAGTATAAAGGGAATATTTGTATTTTTCAAGGGAACAGTTGTTGGTTTTAATCATAATACAAAATATAGACAATAGATGCCTGAATCAAGGGGTCTACTCTGACCTCATACTTGGCAAAAATGATAAAATGCAAATTAAATTAAAGTATAACACACTGCACTGCCTGGAAGAGCAGAGAGACGTTCACACATAGTCCAGCAGAGGGAAGACAAGTGCTACAAATTGAATCGCTTTACACAGTGTGCTTTGTTTCCCTGATGTCAATTCAGCCTTGCATATCCAATAATTGTTTAAATACTGTATGTTTAGCTTCAAGAACATTGTGTGAGGATGTTTTAATTCATAGCGTAATTGTTATTAATTTGTAGGCCGTTGTCTTGAGAGTCTAATTAAGGCAACTGTGTCTCTTTAAACCCGACCGTAACTGGAATAGATAACATTGTGATTGTCCCATAAATACAATGATCCTGAATCCAATTAGTTGCCATTCTACTGCTCGTAAGTGTTCAACTCTGCCACATCCAGCTCACCTCTTCACGTCCCCCTACTCCAGAACAGTAAGGATTAATTATTCAGCTACAATTAGCGTGATGTCAATAGTAATTGCCACCAGTGCAGGGCTCCTCTGACATTGAGGCGGCCTGTTGTGAGAACGAGATTACGCTTCTCTCATGTTAAAATTCCCAATTGCAATCAAGTTACTGTATGTGTTCCTGCTCCGGTGTGTACATGCACGCACGCACGCACGCACAAATCCACCCATCCGGGGGCAGTCACGCATGACTGCACTCAAATAACCAACGCTAATGCACACATAGACACACACAAGTATTTTCAGTTCAATTTGAGGGAAGTGTGTGTAAAACTTAGATTAGGTGTTTGCTCATTTTTTGTTTAATATTTGTAATGTTTATTATTAGACACATATTTGCTAGACTGCGGTGAGTGTCTGGTAATTGCTCAGTTCTTCCCATTACGAACGGGAGATAGAGAAGGTTTATGCAAAAGCTAAAACGTACTTCTGCTGTTGTAGGCATTGATTGAAATTACATGCTATGAAACTAACAAATAAAAGTTGTGTATATTTGAATACTCCCTCTGCAACATTGCTGTGGACACCCCTCACATACACTCTGATGAATCCGCATTTCCGTTTATAAAATGGATTTAATGTTAAGGCCTTTTTTTATGTTTCTTTTCCAAGCATAAATTTAGCATTAACTGAAACATAGAATTGCTGAGTTACAATTTGTGACAAATGTACATGAAAAATCTCACTTCCACTTGGCTTGCATTCTGTAAAGGGCTTTCGGGAAAGCTGCCAATACATTTTAATTTTGGCCATTCTTTTCATCCTTTTAATTTTTCCAACGGTGCAAATAAACTGAACTGCAGGAATATTGTGATCCTGTTTAATATTGTGATTTGAATGCGTTTCCATTGTTTGCCGTTATGTCAGTTCAGTTTTTTTTAGTTGAAGTTTAACATTATCTTTAAAAAAAAGGAGTAAACATTTAAGGTTTGATGTGTACGGAGACAAAAATAAAAAAATCCATAAGATTCCACCATCTTTTTTTCATTGGCTCTCTATGCGACTTGACGTCTTGACCATGTAACTATGTTGCATCTATATACTGGGTGATAGAGGAAGTACTGCCTTGTTTCCATTGATTTCAAACTGAATTTCATTTCGAGTTAGGGGACTGGAAATCCCATTACAAACTTCACACATGCTTGTTTAGTCAAACTATTGAACTTCTGTTATCGCAGTCAACTTTGTGCAGCCAGACAGAAACAAATGACATCGCAGGCTGATCCGAGTCTGTGTCGTACAGCAAGTTTACTTCATTTACGATGCGTAAATGATGATGATGATGATGATGATTATTTTGAAAGTGAAAAAATGATGTCAGTCAAATGTGCGCTGCTTCAGGTCTCTGTCCATCTAACACTACGCTGTAATGCAGTGTGTGTTAGAGATTTGTGGGTTTCTGGTGTTTATGCCTAGTCTGGACTGGGTGTTGAAACATCTCACCGTGGGGTCAGGAGTATTGATGGCAGTGATAAAGCCCTGTAATAATGTCATAAAGCCAGAGAAGACAAAACGCTGTAAGTGGGAGATTGGCTGAAGAGTGTACCCAGTAATCAGTCAGCTGGGTGAAAAATGACGAGGCCAATGTGTGTGGACAGAAATGAGGAATAAAACACGGGGCTCACGAAGGCTGAAAAGACTAGAACAGGAAAAGGGCGAGCGAGTAGAGGTGACCGGCCCACAGAGGGGACGGATCTGTCGTGTTCCCTGATTACAACCAATAGGTTTCAATTTCACATGACAACACCGACCACTCATTTGGGGAAGGCTCGGTGTTATAGAGCTGGGAGGAAAGAGGGGAGGTGGTTTTAATGACCAATTGGCTGTGCAATACCTAAAGAGTAACTGCAATGATAAAGTATTTTTTTTTTTTGTGCCAGCACTTTTCCTTACCTGCGCCATTCGTTGTTCTCATTTAGCTCATTTTAAGCTTTTTTTTAAATGCAATTCGGATTTTGGACAAATGTATATAATGTATATAATTTATATATTAGATTTTTATCTATTGCAAATGCCAGTTTATTTAATTCTGAGATTAATAAGGGCCGACTAAACAAAGTTAAATTCACTTGCTGCAATTACCACAAACCTTTGACCTTTGACTGAGATCTTTCTACGCAACGGGTTTGAGCATGGTGGATAAACAAGTTCATCGTTTTCTGAAAGCAGACAAATAAGTCCAGGTGGGCTGTCAAAGTGGGCACGGTATATGTAATTGGGTACAATATTGTCTTTTACTTGTTACAAGCTGGAAGTGACTGAAATGTTACATCGCAGCTAAACGTTGTATATCTTACAGATGTGTTTGGTAGCACACAAGTGACTAAATCATTTTCATGGTGAAATCTAAACACACAGGCACGATACACATAGTGTTCGACTCAGTGTAACT